CCTGTAATAGAGTAATATAGGCATTGAGAGGATGTATATATTTCCGACCTCTTCGATACAAACCTTCATTTGGAGAACATTTTTTGACAAAACAGTTTTCTGGTCTGGTCCGCCAGCCATAATTAAGCCTAAACGTAAGATAATCTTTATAGACGGAGCGTTTGTCTGTATGTTGATAATTTTTCACGCCATGGCCACGTGCATTGGGGGAAAACAAGTAAAGTCACTTAAATGCTTCATTCGCATGGCGAAATTAAAGCGTGTTCACGACAGAGATTTCGTGTCATGCTTCCAAGGAAAAACGGGAAAACAGCAAAAATTTTGGTAGGCACCAACTGATCAATCGAAGAATATTGACGTTTCTAACCGCTGACATATTAAGTGTGCACAGCAGATGTACATTTATGTAATTTAAGAAGCAATGCACGTTGTAAACAAAACGAATTAGCAAAAATATGTTGCTGTTTTTCGCAACTGCTAAGAGCTGGGCCGGTGATCATGCAGTCATTGATGTAACAAAAGCTATGTTCTTTACAGTAGCAATATAACTTTACAAAGCTTTATCAAATGCAAATGGCAATGTGGAATGTTGAAAAATGATCCAAAAAAGCTAATGACAAAATAGAGATGAACAAAATTCGTTTTGGATGAGTTATCTCCCTTCCATAGTTTTGGTTTCCCAGTAATTTGCAGGGAAGTGCACCACGACTGATCTAATGTCAATTTGATCGAAAAGGGTCGTTTTACAAGTTACAATAGTTATAATATACAAATCATGTAAACATTCATTTTTTTTGTAAAAAGGAACGTTCATTTATTGCAGCTAGTTATAACTTAAAACTTTTTAAAACGTATTCTTGACCAGTGAAGTATGGAAATGCAATTTTTAATTCATAAAAATAACATGTTTTCTTATGACAAGATATAAATATTTTTTGGACCATTTAGTTAATTCAGTCATTGAATTATCTATTACAATGAAGGATGGTCATGGCTGGTCCATTTAACATAAAGTTGAATTGATTATATTTTTGCACACTTACCATTTGCTATTTTAGAGACTGATAGGATAATTTTATTATTTCACATCATTCACCTCAAAAAATAAAATAAGATACCATTTCAAAGGGGTTTATGATTGATTATGGAGACATAGAACGCTAAGACATGTTCATTTTGATCAAGTTTTCACTTTGGATATCTTTAGACATCAGTTTCACATTTAAATGTTACAGTTGTGTTACTCTATTATCATATGCTGAAAATTTTTATTTTCATGGGGCTTCAATTTTTTGGTTTTCCAAAAGTAAACATTTCTGTTAGCACTTGAATAACCATGAATTCAATGAAAGTAAGTCTCTAATAAAAATGAATGATTTTAAAGTAAACAAGAAGATAACACAATAGTTAGTCATTTTGTCACCTTCCTGCAGTGATGTTTTAATTATCTTCTTTTTTTACAGACAATGAATAGCTTTGGTTAGTAGGACTACATTTATATAAGAAAAGCATGAGTGATCTAGTGGACATTGAGATCACCAATGTGGAGTCTCCGAGTTTATTTTATGCCAAGGTTGTGAAAGACTTGACAGAGTCGTCAGATGATTTGGCATTTCAGTTGCTCGAAAAATCTATGAATGATTTTTTCAACACAGAGAGTCTTTATTTGCCAAGTCACACACCCTATGAGGTGAGTCATTTTAGCTGTTCTTGTTTACTTTATTGATTAACATTTCACAACATATAGCTGATGTGCTTATCTATCAGTATCTGTGTCCATGCATTGATACGATGTTGCTCCGAAACAGCTTAATAGTAGATTTCAGTTTCAATTAGCTTCAAAGCATTCTTGGACCTTTCAATCTGGAAATTACTTGTGTATATATATTAAAGAGCAAAACTCCTTGGGAAGCATGTCACTAAAAGTGTCATTTAAATAGAGTTCTGTGATCATGTCGTTTTGTCTTCTGAATATTTCATCTCATGCCATCAAATTTCCTGTGGAGCATTTTTTAGACAAGTGAAGCATACAGTATTTTAGGAATTATAAGCTGCACCTTTTTCCCCTCATGAGTTGTGCGTGCAGCTTATAAACTAGTGTGGCAGATATGTGGATGAAAAAAAAAATGGCAAGATGGAAAAAAAAGTTGGCAATTACCTTTTGCATCCTGGGATTGATAGGTCATCAGGTTATAGGTCAAATTCTTAAATGACTGCCATGCTTGTTCACAATGTAAATGGCTACATGTAACTTACAAGAAGAAAAAGTATAGGGCTAAGACTTTGGTAAGCATGTAAGGGCCTTCATTGATATTAAACAGTACAGACACTGATGGAGAGATCGTTTAGTAAACTGTATGTTATGTCAGGCCCTATATCTGTGCATAGACAATCTGTGAAGGCACTCAAGCCAAAAGAGTTTGATATTTGCCATGTTCTGTTTTTTGAAATCAATAAGATAGAGGATTATTTGTGTATAATTCATTTGCAAACTTGTCTGTTATATCAACAAACTTTGGTCAGCATAACGGTTACCACTTCTTAAGAACTGTCATCCGTTATCTGTTACCGGTATATCAAACATCAATATTGGTGATCGCCATTTTGTAAGGAAATATGGGGCTTATATTCCAGTGCAGCTTATATGTGGAGCAAATTAAAAAAATTCCTAAAACTAGCCTTGCGGCTTGTATACCTGAGTGAATTATAACCCGGAAAATATGGTAGTAGCTCAAAACAGGAGTCACTGTGTGCTGAAAAAAGTGTTATTTTGTAATGATAAGAAGGGATTGTTTTCTATTTTAGTTTATTGTTATGAAACATGAAATCTGATTTTTTTTTTTTTGGTGTGATGAAAAAACGAATATTTCATCCCATATCACCAGAATTCCAGTAAAGTATCCTTGTGGTGATATTGTGAAAGCCCTGACGGAATTTTCAGCTGCAGTGTTTTTAATTATCTATTTCAGGGTGACATTTGTATTGGAAGACGGGTGTTGGATCGACGTTGGTGCCGGGTCAAGGTGACTGGAGTACTTTCGAGGAGAAGTGGTACAGAAGGAAGGTAGATACATTTACAGCTACAGATGATGTGACCAAATAAAATATTTTGTGAACATGGCACAGTTGGGAGTTATCTCACTTGTGTCACTCATAGCACATGGACGCTTTGAATCCTTAACACTGTGAGATAAAAAACCAAATGTTCTGTTATACTTTTCATGACTGGGAGTAGAGAGTTTGCTAAATGTCTGTCTGATGACTGAAGTGTGTCACCCAGGCCAATACAACCCAAATCATAAAAGCACAACAATTTTTAAGTCATCTCTTTATATGGCTTTGAGTAAGTAATATGTATATTTAGATTTCATAATATTACACAAGTAGAACATTTTTCTTTATATATTGATAAAATTTTCATCCTCATTGAAACAAATTGGGCTCTGTCTGTCTTCCTGTACATGCACCCTCTGATCATTTCTAAGCTGGAGTTTCAAAACCGTTCAACCAATCTCTTTGAAACTTTTCAGTTTTGGTATTTTTTCTGTTACCATGGAAGCAAATGTAATGTTTTTCTAGGCTGCAACTTGAGAACAGTTTAACATTGGGATGGTGAAAGTGATTTTGGGATTACAGTAGACCCTCGATAATCTGGATTTTGATAGTCTGGAAAACTCACTATCAGGGTGGGGAACAGATTTCTGTAACATTGAGATGATCTTCGAGGGTGTTCACCTGTGCAATTTGTGTTAAAAGTTAACAGTATTCCGAAACAGATAAAAAAAATTAGCTTGTGATTGTGATTGTTGACAATAACCAGGGAACAGATGTAAATTGATCCTGAATAATAGGATATACACAAGATGTGAATCATAGAATACAAAGTGAAATTTATTTGATAACACTGCGGCCATCATCCCTCTGTACTTCGCATATTAACATATGAAAACAGGTACACATTATGCAAAAGTGTTATCTTCAGTTTTGAAATTACAGTATTTTATTTGTCCCCCACTGGGAACAGGCATGGACTACTGCTTTACATTGTATTGTCCATCCTTCTGTCTGTTTTTCTGCTATCTTGTACGAGCACAATCTCCTATATATGTACTGCTTGTTCCTGGAACTTCAAACTTAGGGTATGGAGTCACCTTGAAGTGGTGGTGTAACAAAAGGAGGTCACCCTGACCTATATTTTAACCTTTGACTTGCATCAAAAAAAAGTTTATTCCACGCCATTCACATATTGACCTACACTGCTAGTCACTGAAATGTTAAACTGGGAATATGGGCACATCTTGTTGAAGTGCTTTGTTTATCAAAAGTCAGCCACTCTGATCTACATTTTGGCCTTTGACCTACATAAAGTTTGTCTTGGTTCTCTCTTATGATAACTGAATCTTTACACTTGGAATATGGATTCACTTTGGTGAGGTGATATGTGGTGTATAAAAAGTTGCTCACTTTGACCTATGTTTTGACCTCTGACATACTTTTTGACCAGTAACATTCTTAGTAGAGCAATGAAACTTACAGTGTTGACAATTTGTCTGCTTGTTAACCACTATTAGAATGTGTGTCACATACCAAATTCTTGTTTGTACAAAATATATCAAATTCTCATATTTATGGTTTTTCAGGGGACCCCTATATTTGTCCTTACATGTCCTGATCTGAAATACATGTGCCTCTTTGTTACTAGTAATAGTTGATCAGTAAAACTTTTTGTTAATCACTATTAGAAAATGTGTTGCATACCCAATTTTTGTTTGTCCCACAAAGGTCAAGTTTACGAATTTAAAATTTTTCTTTACCCACTTGTATTGAACTACAGAAGGTTGTGCCAGCCTCAATACTTTGTAGGCAGACAGAGTAATAATTACTTACGAAATGATATTTTGCATTTTTGTTAACTTTTTTGAGAAGGTGAGTTCAATGATTTGCTTTCTTTGATCTTTCAAAGGTCAAGGTCTTAAACTGAGGGCATGTTATTGTACCCTATTAGATGAACTACAGAAAATTGTGTCTGTCCATTGACTTTGTTCCACAACAGTACTCTCAGAGATGGTTTCCATCTCCATGTCTAATTTAAGATTGTTACATCTGCTTACTGAAAATAATTTTTTCAAGGTTTTGTGAATCTGTTATAGTGACCATGACAATCTATGGCCTGTAATTTGTCCCAGATCTTGATCTTCTAAAAGTATCTGTGCGGATACTGATAATATTGTAAGTAATATATATTTATATATATTGATATGATTTTTTATCCAGTAATTCCCCATCAATGTTTCTATTCATCTGGACACCATGCTGATTTTTTCTTGTCTGTTAAGAGCAATAGAGATCATATCAGCCTCTATGATATCTAGAATTTGTCCCTTGTTATATTGTATATTGATTTTTATTGTATTTTCAGGTGCTTCTTCCTTGATTATGGAATATCAGATTATATACCTCTCAAATGGTAAGTTAATTAAATCTAAGTTCATATCAGATTGTATACCACTCAAATGGTAAGTTAATTAAATCTCAGTTCATATCTGATGGTATACCACTCAAATGGTAAGTTAATTAAATCTAAGTTCATATCAGATTGTATACCACTCAAATGGTAAGTTAATTAAATCTTAAGTTCATATCAGATTATACACCTCTCAAATGGTAAGTTAATTAAATCTAAGTTCATATCAGATTATACACCACTCAAATGATAAGTTAATTAAATCTAAGTTCATATCAGATTACCGTATATACCACTCAAATGGTTAGTTAATTAAATCTGAGTTCATATCAAACTGAACATCACTCAAAAGTGTTAAGTTGAGTAAAAATTGAGCAACAGTCTCACCAGGGTAATGGTAATGGCTGTTAAATCAAAATGTAGATTTGGCACCATGTAATGTTATTTGTGCAGTGGGTATATTGTGTTGCTACAGTGCTCAATATTGAGTTTATTGACTTGAATTCACTGGAGGAGTATGAAACTGCTAGCATGTGAAATCAGACACATTTTCTATTTCAATGAAACATTTTCAAATGCAACACTGTAACACAATGGCCTTATTACGTAATGATTACATGATCATTACATGATCCTGTTTCATTACTATTTCAAGATATGAATTTTATATTATATATATTAGTGCAACATAATCATGTTTTCCTGTGGTAGCGCAAACAATGCTAATACTGTGTGTATTGTGCATTAGGGTAATGGGTTAACTGGACGATAATGGACCATGGAGATAACACAGGCTAATAAAATAGATGGGTAGAAAGAATGAACGTACATGGCAGTTGGTCAAGAGCCAAATAGAGTACCATTTCAAGATGGTCAAAGTATCAATTAATACAAATCCATTAAGTTCAATTTACACAATTTGATTGTATAGATACAGGTCAGCCGACCTGGGGCAGAACAGGTATGCTGACTCCCGCTGGAATGTTGTGGGCAGGGGAGTTGACCAATCGCTGACATTCATATGTCACAGATATTATAAAAGCAGCCTTGGGGACTTGCGGAGTTAGTCAGCTCGGAGAACCTTTACTGACGCCAACCTGCGGTCTCCGGCTACTCACATTCGGCCATATGAAACCTAAAATGTTATAGGAACTTTCGAACCTTTCGCCAAGAAAATTACTTAGTTATGCACCAGTGTGACGGGTCGTCGGTCCACTGTTTTACTATAGTTGTAACGTATCCTGTTGTTATTCTCGTGGAGCCATACCTGGTGAATTATGTTAAATAAAACTTCGAACCTTTGGAACTTGGGTTGTTGAACTTTTGTCATTTCAATACGCATATGAACACCTGAAGTGTTATATGTTACTATTGATTTTTGGTGCCGTAGCGACCAGGATCGAGAATTAACAGAAAGGATATTGTACAAAGAAGTGCATTGTATTATGAACTCTGACAACGAAGTTATTATTCAACGGGCACGAGAAAACTTTCCTGTACATTAGAAGAAGAAAATTATTGCAGTTGTCAGACCTTCTGACCACGAACTGAAGGAACTCGAGGAAAAGAAAAAGCCCGACATTACAGTCAGTACCGATACCCAACTACCCAGACGTAATAGACCAAGAGGATTGGTCCGCCGCGACGTTCCCTTAAGACCGGTAGGAGAAAGGCTACTGCCACAGGGTAATTACTCTGCCCCAGCAAGGGAGGAATGTAACACAATGGCCTTATTACGTAATGATTACATGATCATTACATGATCCTGTTTCATTACTATTTCAAGATATGAATTTTATATTATATATATTAGTGCAACATAATCATGTTTTCCTGTGGTAGCGCAAACAATGCTAATACTGTGTGTATTGTGCATTAGGGTAATGGGTTAACTGGACGATAATGGACCATGGAGATAACACAGGCTAATAAAATAGATGGGTAGAAAGAATGAACTTACGTGGCAGTTGGTCAAGAGCCAAATAGAGTACCATTTCAAGATGGTCAAAGTATCAATTAATACAAATCAATTAAGTTCAATTTACACAATTTGATTGTATAGATACAGGTCAGCCGACCTGGGGCAGAACAGGTATGCTGACTCCCGCTGGAATGTTGTGGGCAGGGGAGTTGACCAATCGCTGACATTCATATGTCACAGATATTATAAAAGCAGCCTTGGGGACTTGCTATTGTGCATTAGGGTAATGGGTTAACTGGACGATAATGGACCATGGAGATAACACAGGCTAATAAAATAGATGGGTAGAAAGAATGAACGTACGTGGCAGTTGGTCAAGAGCCAAATAGAGTACCATTTCAAGATGGTCAAAGTATCAATTAATACAAATCAATTAAGTTCAATTTACACAATTTGATTGTATGGATACAGGTCAGCCGACCTGGGGCAGAACAGGTATGCTAAGATGGTCAAAATATCAATTAATACAAATCCATTAAGTTCAATTTACACAATTTGATTGTATAGATACAGGTCAGCCGACCTGGGGCAGAACAGGTATGCTGACTCCCGCTGGAATGTTGTGGGCAGGGGAGTTGACCAATCGCTGACATTCATATGTCACAGATATTATAAAAGCAGCCTTGGGGACTTGCGGAGTTAGTCAGCTCGGAGAACCTTTACTGACGCCAACCTGCGGTCTCCGGCTACTCACATTCGGCCATATGAAACCTAAAATGTTATAGGAACTTTTGAACCTTTCGCCAAGAGAATTACTTAGTTATACACCAGTGTGACGGGTCGTCGGTCCACTGTTTTACTATAGTTGTAACGTATCCTGTTGTTATTCTCGTGGAGCCATACCTGGTGAATTATGTTAAATAAAACTTCGAACCTTTGGAACTTGGGTTGTTGAACTTTTGTCATTTCAATACGCATATGAACACCTGAAGTGTTATAACACACCTACCTGCGAAGAATAGTAATGTTGTAAATAACATTAAGCTCAGTATGTACAACTATGTAATTTAGTAGTTGTATCACAGTAACATTGTAACTAAACAATGAAAACAATAAAGACTTGTAGGATTTATAAGCATGCTCTTATTTCATAATTTTGATATAATTGGAAACTTGATAATTTCCATTGAAAATGAAATAATAAATCTGTGTGTTTGAACTCTGGAAGACGAGCAATCTTTAGAATACTGAAAAACTGATCTGTGTTTCAGGTTACGAAAGGCCTCGGATGACTTTCTGACAGTGCCGTTCCTGGTGAAGAAATTCTGTCTGTATGGTGTGAAGCCACTTACTCTTGCTCTAGAAACAGAACACCTATCTGTCAATCAAGTGTAAGTGGAATTAATATATGTTAATTGAGTGTTGTGTAAAACCTGGTCATCAATGTGTAAGAGTCTAATTGAAGTAGGAAGTTAAGGAGGCCATAAGGGTATGACACAGCATATCCAAATTGACTTATATGTATCATTATATGATTACCACTTAATATGTATACATATGGAACATTACCTATTCACCTCCACTGTAACCTAAGGATCATGTACAGTACTTTTGTATAGTATGTTATTTTTATAGGAATATGATAGAGCCCAAAAATCCTGCCAATATCGTAACAATTTTGTACACGAAGTGCCTCAATGCATATATCTTTCATTTAACATTTTTATGATGATTGTAGTCATTGAAACACCACATATACATTTCTAACTGGTTTCGATTTTAATGAAAATCTGTTCAGTATATTCTTTCATGCTATTGTGTTTGCTGAGAACTTTTGTGTAGATTGTGTAATGGATTTTGTTACAGGAAGTCTGAAACCTGGGATACCTCAGCAGTGACATTGATGAACAAAGTTATTAAAGGTAAGAAATGTTTTTTTTTTTAATTTCTGTTCAAGGTCAGCATTTTTGTCTCATTAGAATAGTCAAAGAAGTATGCCGGAATCAGCTGTTCATATCTCTCTGTCCATCTCAACAATTGTCTGTGTTAATAAAACTTTCTTGGCAGGACTGGTTCTTAATATGGTTATATAACTTTATTGTTTTATTTTCAAATTCATTTTGAAAATGTTTTAACCAGGTCATATTTTTAATAAGTCTAAATTAAATTTTACACACATTATCCTTTTCTTTTTTATTCATCATTCTTTTTAACCTCCTTTAAGTTTCCTAATGAATTTTTTTGAGAATCTTCATAATGCCAAGGTAGAAGTCATTGACTATTTTTATTCAAATTTGATAGAGAAGCATATGTTTATGTTGTTCATGCATATGTCAATGTGTTTGACCATGTAATATAAAGTTGATGTATAAACTCCAGCTAATCAGCTAATCTTTTAAACAACTTCTTCTTAATAACCAAAATGCCCAGGGTGCTGGTATTAGGCCTGCAGTATGCTTGGAGGTAGGGCTACCAAATCTGTTAATATGAATGACACTGACATGCTTTCAAGGTCACAGAGAGTCAAATGTGTTGAAATCTTTAAACAACTTCTTCTCAACAACCAAAAGGCCCAGGGTGCAGATATGGGGCCTGTAGCATGATGGATGAAGTGCTACTAGTTGATTAATATGAATGACCTTGACCCACTTTCAAGATCACAGGAGTCAAATGTGTTGTAATATTGAAATGACTTCTTCTCCATAACAAAAAGGCTCAAGGTGCTGATATTGGGCCTGTAGCATGATTGGATAAAGGGCTACCAAGTTCGTTAAAATGAATAACCTTAATTCACTGTTAAGGTCACAGGAGTCAAATGTGTTGAAGTCTTTAAACAACTTCTTCTCAATAACCAAAAGGCCCAGTGTGCTGATATTGGGCCAGTAGCAAAAACAGATGATGAGCTAACAAGGTTGTTAAAATTAAATACCTTGACCCACTGTTAAGGTCATAGGGTCATTTGTTGAAATGCATAACCAACTTCTTCTCAATAACTAAAAGGCCAAGGGTCTTGATATTGGGCCTGTAGCATGCTTTTTTCAACAAGCAATATGTCCAAAGTATTGGCATTTGTGTAATGAATGTATAAAAAATATGATTTAAAGTTTTCAGAAAATGTCTTTATGAACCAGTCAATGACTTCTATGTAAGCTGTAGTGTTGTCGAGCAATTTATTTTAGGCCTATTTGGCCTCTTTCATGTATAGGTCTTTATAGTCAGATGACCATTAAAGCCAGTGGGCTTCTTGTTATTATTCCCCTTCATTGCCATAAAAGGCATATGATGTAAAGAGAGGCTATGTTTATTGATTAAAGGCCAACATATGAAGAGCTAGGACATACACATTGACAGGCAACAGATAAAATAAAAGAGGCAGTCAAGAATGTTGTGACCTTCAGAAATGTAATGGTCAGTTTGAGCTTGTTACAATACTGCAGCATGACCAGAGGTTTAGGGGATGGTGGTGGTGTTTCAGGATGGGATAAGATGTGGTAGGTTCACTATTAGTGGCAGGTAACTGGAGTTCCCAGAAAAAATCCATATGGTAGGGCAGGTGACTTTGACCTTTTCACATCCGATCAGGTTATCAGACCAGGGTTTCCTAGGTGAAAGGTATATTATCATTGTACCACTGGACCACCCAACAGTATCTTGGCATACAGGTTGATGTCAAGAAAGGTAGGCTATAGGAAATTCTACTGGAGGTAAAGAGAATGAAGACGGGGTGAGGAAAGAATAGAGTTCCAATGATCTCAGATAATTGTATACCAAATCTCCTTTGGTTATAAGATCTTATAGAGCTAAGACCTAATTTCACTACATTCTATTTATCAGTGTCATGATATTTGAAAAAAATATATCAATCATCTGATAAAATATGTATGAGATGAAATTTATTTCCATTGTCTTACTTAATGATAATAAAAGCCAAATTGTTGATTTGGTCACCTACGTATAATTGTTCTCGTCAAAATGTTACAGAAAGCCATAGCACAAAGGTACGCATCAGATATGTAGACAGGGACAATATCCACCATGCAGATCTATACTTTTTCTCCCCCAAACAAAACATCTGTCTGAATGAGGAGTTTGTCACGTTGAAGTATGCCACCACGGTCTTTCCAGATGAAACTGTAACAGGTAGGTAAGCCAAGCAAGCTGACGACTAATTAGATGTGTCATTCTGTAATATAAATGGATTTAAAAAAAAAGAATTCATATGTAGGTTCCCATTGGTCCCTAGTTGTGCCCATCTGATTTTAGGATTGATCAGAAAAACAAAATGGCCAACAGAAGGCCATCTTAGATTTTGACTTTTATTACTATTTCTTGGAGACTACAGCATAGATCTTTCTCAAATTTCATGTGTATGCTTTTCTTGATCCCTAGTTGTTCCTGTTTGATTTTGGTATTTGTAATTAGCAACAATTGCATTTTAAATACTTATCCAGTAAGATATTTAACACTTTACTATTATATTTAATTTAATGATTAATTTACTTTAAATTTGAAAATGCTAAATAATTACACTGAAAGTTCTTTTATTTGTTCAGCAATATACTATTTGATACTCTAGATAAACAACAGTTTACTGTATTTCAGATTCTGGTGAAGCTGTCATCCAGAAGCTGCTTAAGCACTCAAAGACATGGGAGAGTAGTCTTCCTGCTGTTGGGAGAAACAGGACAAGGAAGCATTTGTCTGGCTGCTGTAGTGATACTGAAGCTGGTAGGATACCTGTTTTCTCTCCAGAAAAACATTCCCTCAATACTACTGTGCCAGTGGTGGAGAAGATGAAGCATCGCGGAATACATAACTCAGTGGCTGAACAAATAACAAAAAGCTTCTCAAACATGTCATCTGAGAATGTTCTAGAGGTCAGTGGTGATCATAAAAAGGGAGCGATTGATCATAGAAGGAAGCCTATCACCCTTGCTAAGTATAAAGAGAGAAAGAAATTGAATGAAACTGCAATATACAGTGATTCAGAAATGATTTATAGTTCATCGCCAATACACCAGAAAAATAGAATTCAGACATTGAATCCTGCTATGTTGCAGTCCTCAGCAGCCTCTGTGTCACCCATTGGTTTGTCTTCCCTGGAGAAGAGTGTTGAGAGACAAAGCATGTCACGGACTTCTCCTAGCTCTTCTCAAACTACACCTTTTACATCTTCTATGTTAGGTAAACTGTTGTATGCATCGTCTCCCGAAAAGAAAGAATCTGCTGCAGTGCTTAATGGTGATGGGCCTGCTAAACAAGACAATAAAACCATTACAAACAACATGATATATAGTGAGCTTGGTCTTCCACTGACACGGGCACGACTTCCCAAATCAGCGAAGCGATCATCAGAAAGTGATCCTGATAGTTCAAGGGCACAAACCTCTCGCCAGATATCCACATCTTGTGGGTTAGTGTATCCTGATAGTTCAAAGGCACAGACCTCTCCCCAGATATCCACATTTTCTAGGTTAGTGTATTTTGATAGTCCCAGGGCACACACCTCTCACCAGATATCCACATCTTGTGGGTAAGTGTATCCTGATAGTTCAAGGACACAGACCTCTCCCTAGATACCCACATCTTCTAGGTAAGTGTATCCTGATAGTTCAAGGGCACAGACCTCTCCCCAGATATCCACATCTTCTAGGTAAGTGTATCCTGATAGTTCAAGGGCACAGACCTCTCACCAGATATCCACATCTTGTGGGTTAGTGTATCCTGATAGTTCAAGGGCACAGGCCTCTCCCCAGATATCCACATCTTGTGGGTTAGTGTATCCTGCTAGTTCAAGGACACAGACCTCTCCCCAGATATCTACATCTTGTGGGTAAGTGTATCCTGATAGTTCAAGGACACAGACCTCTCCCTAGATACCCACATCTTCTAGGTAAGTGTATCCTGATAGTTCAAGGGCACAGACCTCTCACCAGATATCCACATCTTGTGGGTAAGTGTATCCTGATAGTTCAAAGGCACAGACCTCTCACCAGATATCTACATCTTCTAGGTAAGTGTATCCTGAAAGTTCAAGGACAAAGACCTTGTCCCAGATATCTACATCTTTTGGGTAAGTGTATCCTGATAGTTCAAGGACACAGACCTCTCCGCAGGTACCCACATCTTCTAGATAAGTGTATCCTGATAGTTCAAGGGCACAGATCTCTCACCAGATATCCACATCTTGTGGGTAAGTGTATCCTGATAGTTCAAGGGCACAGACCTCTCACCAGATTACCCACATCTTCTAGGTAAGTGTATCCTGATAGTTCAAGGGCACAGACCTCTCACCAGATATCCACATTTTCTAGGTTAGTGTATCCTGATAGTTCAAGGGCACAGACCTCTCCCCAGATATCCACATCTTGTGGGTAAGTGTATCCTGATAGTTCAAATTCACAGGCCTCTCCCCAGATATCCACATCTTCTAGGTTAGTGTATCCTGATAGTTCAAGGGCACAGGCCTCTCGCCAGATATCCACATTTTCTAGGTTAGTGTATCCTGATAGTTCAAGGGCACAGACCTCTCCCCAGATATCCACATCTTCTAGGTAAGTGTATCCTGATAGTTCAAGGGCACAGACCTCTCACCAGATATCCACATCTTGTGGGTAAGTGTATCCTGATAGTTCAAATTCACAGGCCTCTCCCCAGATATCCACATCTTCTAGGTAAGTGTATCCTGATAGTTCAAGGGCACAGACCTCTCCCCAGATATCCACATCTTGTGGGTAAGTGTATCCTGATAGTTCAAGGGCACAGACCTCTCACCAGATATCCACATCTTGTGGGTTAGTGTATCTTGCTATCTCATTAAAATGAAAATATGTAGATTTAAATGAAGTTATAATCTATATGACTCATTGTTTTCAGTAAAAGCAATGGTTCAGCTTCATCAGAAGACGATAAAGTTGTTGGCGATATGAAGAAATCAATCCTGAAGAAGCCGTCGAGTTGTGTATTTCTTAATGAGAAGCCCTCAGTTAGGTATGAGCTGGTCCAATTTAGGCTGGGAATACCTCTGATAGAAGCACTATATTGCCAGCTTCAAATTGGAAATTTAATGTTTGTTTACACTTTATCTAATTTACTGGAGGGATCACTTTTGTCATACTGTATTTTCTGGATTATAAGGCACACCTTTTTTCCAAGTGAGGTGGGCATATGGCTTATATGTGAAAGAAAGTATACCAGTGCAACATTATGAGACGATTCTGAGTTTTGTTTTTACGAGAACCTGCCTTTATGTGTCTGTGACTAAGACAGATCTTCTGGAACCATCATTTGCAAATGTATAGAGAATGGTTTGAAGATTGAAATAGATATAACATTCTCGTAAATCTAATTGATCATACCTTTTAATATGAATCACAATAATATCTTCTAGACTTTCACAGTTACTTCGAAGCCAAAGCAGAAGTTTACAATAGCCTATTGCAACCTGGGATCATTAGGTCAAATTCTAGAACAACCACCATGCTTTTTAACGATATGAATGGCTTTGTGTAATTTACAAGAAGAAATGATGTGGGACTAGAAGAATTTGGTCAGCAAGCAATTGCCTTTGTTAATATTGAACAGTACAAACACTGATGAAGAGATTGTTTAGGAATCCTTATGTAACGTAAGGCTCTATATCTGTGTATAGACAATCTCTGAATGCACCCAAGCCAAATGAGTTCAGTATTGGCTGTTTTACATTTTTTAGAAATACATCGATGAAATCTAGGATAACTTGTGTATACTTAACTTTCACGGACGATCTCGATAAATGTCATCCATTGTCTGTTATATCAACAAACTTTGATCAACGTGATGGTTAACACTTCGTAAGAAAGGGTGCAGCTTATATTTAGGTGCAGCTTATATGTGGATCCAATTAAAAAAATTGGTAAAAATCAGCTCTTGGGCTAATTTACTGGTGCTGCTTATAACCGAGAAAATACAGTATATTCTGACAATATCCTAGCTTTGGCAATCACACTTTCAGCTTCATTGAATATTAAAGTTTATCAAATACTCAGAAAGGCTGCCTTGTGCCTTCTGGAAATTATTGTTTTTATTTTACACATTTCTAGTTGTTAGATTGGACAACATTTTAAAATTTGGAATGACAATGTCAAACATCAAAATAAATATATCAAAATTTATCCAAATTTATTTAATAAATTAAAATATATTTATCATATGACATTGCTTTAAATACAACATTTTTTGAAGAAGAAAGTAAATATTAGTATTACATAGAATCAGTGAAGATGATTGATTTTGTCATCGAAGATCCCCCTGAGATGTCTTGTTTATATTTACACCTGCTATCAGGTTGTTGTGGACATCAAGCATTTTCAACGTTATTTTTCAGAATCCTTGTTCTATTTCCAATGCATATTGTGTGAAATATAAGTGTGTTATCATGGCAGGTGATATATAGAATCATCACTCCTTAAAAGAAATTCTTACTTGAAAAAATGATAGTGAAGATGATCTGTAATCAAATTATTAATGGGTGATTTCAGATTCAGAGACAGTGAAGCTAAAGCAGAGACTCAGGTCAAGAAAACACAAATGCTAGGCCGCCTCACCGGTAAAAAGTGAGTACAACCAATACAGTGTAATATAGAGTGGGATAGGGTCATGGATGTCCTTTTCAAAAGATCCAACATTGAAAATGTACTATACCAATTGAATTATGGAGTTAGTTCAGATCATTTTAGCATTTCTTGTGGTCAACTTTGATTTTTTCTGACTCACCTGTGAAAGATTTCCACACCTTTGGCTGCTGGCATCGATGCTGTTTCCTAGAAGGATCAAGCAGTGGTATAGTGCAGTTGAAACAGTTTTCTCACCTTATTGAGAAATTAAAAGAATTTTTCTAATAGATATAAATAATTTAATATATATTTGCATCAATAATGTATAAATACTCTTACGATATCATAATAAAATAACCTGGTATTATGCTTGGCTAATGGTTTGATATGACATAATCTTAAATGCTTCTTTCATATAAAATTATTGAATTCCTTTTGTGAATTTGATTTGATTTGTCCACTCATGTATGACATGTATGACTTTCCTAGTTTTCTATCTATATATTTAAATGTTTTTTGTTTCATACCTGTTTTGTTTTATTATCTGAAATTTTCTTTTTAAATACATATTTCATAATGTGCATGAATCATTTAATTTCAGTTTAAGATATTAGTGAACACAAAAAATACCTTTATGTTGCTAATTTAGCAACAGGGAGATGTGAATTACCAGCTACTTAGTTTGGTGCAATTTTTTGTTCTTGTCCCTGAGGTGTCAGTTTCTCTAATACCATGTTAATGTTAATGGTTTTTGTTCTTATTTCTTCAACAAGAAAAAGTTTTGTTTCATACCTTTTTAAAAGGTAATCCTACAGAGCACATGAACCAAGGGTCACATACATCTTAATTTCCTGGTATATACAGTAAAACTTCGATGTGTCAAAGTTCAAGGGACCGTCGAGAAAACTTCGATACATCGGGACTTTGACTCATGAATGGTGACCATCCAACCACAAAAAATACACCTGTAAAAGATGTGTATTGTGTCCGTTTGTGTTATATGCAGAGTCCCTTATCAATATCTCGTGTTGATTGCTTGCATAATCTATCAAATGTCTGTTCGAACGCAACTTTGTCACAGAATATCGGAGGAAGGAAAAGAATTCATATGAATTTTAACATGTTTATTATAAAGACACGAGACATCAAATAACAACGAATAACAATGCAACATACCACTTTCATCGAGTCATTCATACACAGGGCAGCATGGTTGTATCGGAGATGAGAATTTGGTTCACTTACGGTATGTGAATCGTACTGATTTTGAAAAGGACGGAACAACATCCATACGTAACACACATGTAAGAATGCAAGCACAATATACATTACATATTTTAGCACCACAATGCAATATTTTCTTCAAATTCAAATTAAACAAAGAATGAACAACAAATTATATCTTATATCACTAATAATGTCCGGTAGTGAAATGAAACGATGTCCTGAAAAAAACCCACTAATCTCAACAAACAAACAGTCGCGCCATAATCACACCACTTAACGGTTAATGACTTGAGAATACAGCTTGTGTAGACAATCAGACATGGTCAGTGATTATTGTCACTTTGTGTCTTAGCCTTGGCCTGGCCATTGTTCACGCTTCCGCCGAGGTGTGAAAACTGCCATGGGACATTCAAGTTTTCTCGTACAGGTAAATTTTTTGACTTCGATTCATGTGTTGTGATTTCTAATGGTTTCTTAACCATGGGACCGGGAAAAAAGTTTGAAACAGCGAGAACTTCGATTCATAAAAGTTCGAATCATAAATGTGAAATTAGTAGTATTATATAGAGGCGAAAATCGGGACTCTGCAAAAAATTTGAAACATCGAGAAATTCGAATCATCGAAGTTTGACTCATCGAAGTTTTACTGTACTTGTATCTGCATTATATACATAAATATAAGCTTCAATAGATTATTTTTTTTCAGTTTTAAACCAATTTGTTTAATTTTTTTTTTATTTGTATGTTTTACTCAACATTAAAAGTGCAGGCCAAAGGTAAGAAAAACTATATCGTGTTTGATTAGAAAACCTTACATTAACTTCCTACTATACCCAGCATACGCTTTGTCACATCTGAGCTGGATCTACTATTAAGTGTTTCTGTCATCATCATTGTGATCACAATTGTTACCGACACATTTGAATAGAGCTGTTATTGCAAACAGCATTATCCTGGCTATTTGCATTTTTTAAAATTTTGAAGTAAGTTTTTAAAAGGCTTATATGTAAGCCCATAAGTATACATCCCACACCCCTTCTATTTGGCTTCAACAATCATTATTGGTTTAAGATTGAGGTTACATTAATTTTAATGCAAGTATTTAGGATATTTTTTGTGAAATTTACCTTGTTTTGCTTGTTTTGAACTTAACATTCATTACATCAATTGTTGCTGATAAGGTTTGGGTTAAGTTTTAAGCTTCTGTAAATCCAAAAGTATACATCCCACACCCCTCCAGGTTGGTATATACGATCAGTAAGCATTCTGCAATGGCTGCTGCCAGTGAACTTGGCAATTGTTGATTGTAAAATAATGTGTGCTTGTTATTGGATAACATTGTGAATAAAAACAGGAATTAAAACTAGAGCTAATTAATATCAGTAGAATTGAATTTAAATCTGTGATATCAGACATTGTTTTTGCCTTTAACATTTTTTTTGTCTGAACTGATTTTCTATTCAACATTGGGCGTGCTCTAACCTTGTTATTCATTTCTCTGGGTCCATTGATTGATTGAATTTCAAATATGTTTTATGATTTATATATCTTACTGTCTGCAGTATATGAGTGCTATTGCGAAGAAAATATGTCCTGGCAATTGGACAGCTGACTTTAAACTTTTGTTCATTAACTTGATAGTAAACTGTCGTCAAGAGTCCATCATTAACACCATTTCCTTGACGGAAGAAATGGATATTTATAAAAACTTACAAAAAAATAAACTCTTTTTAACATTAGAGTATTGATCCTGTCTGTAGATGGAGGAATCCACTGACCGTACAAAACAAGTGTTTTTGACAGCTTTAAATAAGTTGCTTTCATATCACAAACCCTTCCAAAGTTGATCAGATTTGACCGTGATTTGTTCTATGTATGTCACCTTTTCTCAGACACATAGCATTGTGCTGTATATTGAGGTCACATGCCCTTGCTGTTGAATACTTAACAGTCAAGAGGTTTTTGTTAATCACACCTTACTTACTGGGTAAGTTTTCATATCAAACGTCCTTTTGTTAATTCTTCATACCAAACATCACTTAATTTTTCTACCAAACTTCACTGCCATATTGGTCTGGAGGATACTCCGGGCTGTTGCATGTTATCCATTTTTTCACTGAAAAAAAAATCTGATCTTTAAATTTAGTATTTTGGAAAAGAAAACTTTTGATTACCACAAATAACTGCCATATGATGATATTGTGTGTTTTCTTTTAGTAATATGGAGATATTACACTTCTAAGCAGTTTTGATATCTACTGATCTATCAGTACTTGTATACAGACCAGACAACAGTAAATTAGCATTCATTATAATTTTTTTCAAATTTAACCTTCAGGCCAATGTACATATACATGTATCTATCACATAGCTATCTCATTTCATAAATCTTATTTTGACCATTTGTAATGACACCTAGTAGAACTGTGGTTGGCTAAAGGTTTCCATGGTTTCAATTGTGATCTCTGTAATCACAGATTAATGATGTTAAATTCATAGTGACATCACTATAAGACACAGATGTAGGAGTGCCAGCTGTTCATGTAATTCTCTCAAAATGTGTTTTTATCCCACACAAAATGTGTTTGCAGGAGATATTAATTTGGACTCCATCTGTGTGTGCGTGTGCGTGTGTCTGTCCATGTGTGCATGTGTCCATCCGAAGGCTTTTCAGGGCTATAACTTTAAAACTGGTCAACTCAACTTCACAAAACTCTCTGCATATATTATGTTAGTGCCCCAGTTAATTTTTTTTCTGTTACCATGGAAATATAGTAAAAAAACACAAAGTTAATGCTAACTTTCCTTACCGGACTACAACTTCAAAACCATTCCACTCAACTCCCAAAAACTTTCTGCATATATAATAGGTTAGTGCCCTAGTTAAATTTTTTTTGTTACCATGGAAACAGATAACCCTCATCACAAATTCCAGTTTTTTCTGAACCATTACTCTAAAGATAATCGCTCAAAACTTTTTACACTTATTAAACTCATAGCATCTTTTGCTATGGAGAAGTTCTCCATTTGCCGGTAAACACTGTCCCTGTTACCAGCGAACCAGATATGCCATATCACAAAGTTCAGTTTTTCTTTTCAGACCAGTTCTCTTAAACTGTTCAATGTAATTACCTGGTTCTCAAAACTTTTTACAGACATCAAGTTAGTACTCTAGTAGAAGTTCTCCATTTCAATACTTTGTATGTAACAATGAAAAATAATGAATAGAATTAAGCTTGTTTTAAGATCAATATATATATGATAATGTGTCTTTCTTTTAAACAGTGGTGTGTTGGGGATACTGTCACACTATGTGTTATCTTGTTTAGAGATGTTTGCAAAATTATTTAAGTTACGTGTGAAAATCATGACGAATTTCTCATATGACCTCACCATATGCTCTGTAAAATGAATAATCTTGAGCTTGTATCATAGATGTCAAATGAAATGGAAACTTCTAAAAATCCTCAATATATACCATGCATCCATTAACTGATATTGTTCCTTAGAGTGAACAATTCAGATGAGACCATAGCTGTTTCAGATACGGTTCAGTACACAACACCTGATACCATAATTCACTTCATTGTCCACACTACATGTATCAATGCACAAGCTTTTCATTTTGATTAAATTTTTTTGGTCTTATTTCTGATATTTTTGTATGTTCTGTTGAATTGCACTAATTTTGTAGAAAGTAGACGTAGAGGTTTAAAATTATATTTTTATTCATATATTTATTGTGGTGTGCTGTTAAATCATGAAACAGTAAGAACAAAGATGAATTATCATGGTAAGGGTCAATTTTACATTTGCATAAGTATAAAATTTTTAATTGAGTTGTAATTGAAAATTAGTACATGATTTGAAAATTTGATAATGATTTGTCGTTTAAAATGGGTATATCACCAGAATTTGGAAGTATAATTGTTGTAAGAAATAGAAGGATTTAAATTCCACAGACAGTACAAGTTACTGTGACTCCTTATTTTGTATCTCGGCTGTTATGATTTTATGAGAATACCTATATGCTGTCAAACCTGCTGTAAAGGGCACCTGCTTTTATAGGCCACTCTCCACTGTGTCCTGGAGTGGCCATTATAGACAGGTTTAACTGTATGTACAAAAGAGTCACCAGCTAAAGCAGAATGAGGTTGAATAACCAGTTTTACTCCTGAAGAAGTTGATCATTTTTAACACCCCCATTGTTGTAGGTTATTGGACAAGCTGTGTGCTGGGTTAGGTGCAAGCTCACTTGGAAAGAAGGTTAGTGCTGTTATCTGAAAATTGAAATTTTCAATGCTTCCCTAATGGTTTTGAATTTCAGACCTCTGTCTTGAAAGATTAATGCCTCTTTGATTGAGCTTTAGAGAAATTGTAACAAGCAGATTCTGTAAGAAGGAGCTAGTATTTTAACCTGGGCTGAATATCAAGAGAAAGTTTGTTTTCTATGAAGCATTTGCATCAGTGAGGTATTTCTTTGTCTGTTTTACTTCTAATGCCTCATTTTATATCAGTTCTTGCCATTTCACTGATGATAAATATTGTTATGATGCAAAGTTTAGATTGTTACCTGTAAAATATTTTTTTATGTCAGCAGCCACAAGGTGGACCTAATCTGAATAGAGATGGAGTGTTGGTGCACAGTGAAGACCCGCTCAAGCCTATCTACAACATCCACGATGCACCTCTTGATCCCATCGTCCGAGAGGTATGTCTCTCAATACGTACATGATTCCTTAGATAACAAAACTATCTACTGCTTCTTGTAGTTTCTTCATCATGTTGACATATAGGTTGGTGCAGTGGTAACACACCTGGCCGTCCAGGGTTTGATTCCTGCAGTGTATGGTCAACTAGAGTGATTAATATAAGTTGGAAAAACTTGTTTAGGAATTGTTGTAAAATAAATGAAGTTTATTTATTTTTGTTGATATAAGTAATTTAATCCCATGAGAAATTGTCAAGCTGTTAGTATGCACATTGTGATATTTCAGGGTCTTGATAATTATGGCATAATTGCACCAAAGTTTATTCAGTGTTATGCCTGGCCAGCACTCCTGAGAGGTCGCAACGTGGTAGGCATATCACCTAGTGGGTCAGGAAAAACGTTTGCCTACCTCGCCCCACTCCTAACAGACCTCCTGAAGCAGGCAAACTACAAGGATATACCAGCTGGTAATGGGGTGAGTGCTGAAACAGACTACGAAACATACCATATTTATCCTGTACTAAGGTCATGGAGTCAGGAAACCAACACAATGACTTAAAAGTCAAGGGAGGGTTTATTGTAAAACAACAGCATAATTGTTTTTGGTAATTTTTTCTGAATGGCACCAGACAGGGTCAGGCTTAAGACAAGGCATGGTCTAATCACTGGATAAATATGACAATGGAAATTAACAAGATATCACTAGAGCAAAACTGACTGAATGACAAGATATCACTAGAGCAAAACTGACTGAATGACAAGATATCGCTAGAGGAAAACTGAATGACAAGATATCACTAGAGCAAAGCTGAATGACAAGATATCCCTAGAGCAAAACTGACTGAATGACAAGATATCCCTAGAGCAAAACTGACTGAATGACAAGATATCGCTCGAGCAAAGCTGAATGACAAGATATCACTAGAGCAAAACTGAATGACAAGATATCACTAGAGCAAAACTGACTGAATGACAAGATATCACTAGAGCAAAACTGACTGAATGACAAGATATCACTAGAGCAAAACTGACTGAATGACAAGATATCGCTAGAGCAAAACTGACTGAATGACAAGATATCGCTAGAGCAAAACTGACTGAATGACAGGATATCGCTAGAGCAAAACTGACTGAATGACAAGATATCGCTAGAGCAAAACTGACTGAATGACAAGATATCACTAGAGCAAAACTGACTGAATGACAAGATCTCACTAGAGCAAAACTGACTGAATGACAAGATATCACTAGAGCAAAACTGACTGAATGACAAGATATCACTAGAGCAAAGCTGATTGAATGACAAGATATCACTAGAGCAAAACTGACTGAATGACAAGATATCACTAGAGCAAAGCTGACTGAATGACAAGATATCGCTAGAGCAAAACTGAATGACAAGATATCACTAGAGCAAAGCTGAATGACAAGGTATCACTAGAGCAAAACTGACTGAATGACAAGATATCACTAGAGCAAAACTGACTGAATGACAAGATATCGCTAGAGCAAAACTGAATGACAAGATATCACTAGAGCAAAACTGACTGAATGACAAGATCTCACTAGAGCAAAACTGACTGAATGACAAGATATCACTAGAGCAAAACTGACTGAATGACAAGATATCACTAGAGCAAAGCTGACTGAATGACAAGATATCACTAGAGCAAAACTGACTGAATGACAAGATATCACTAGAGCAAAGCTGACTGAATGACAAGATATCGCTAGAGCAAAACTGAATGACAAGATATCACTAGAGCAAAACTGAATGACAAGATATCACTAGAGCAAAACTGACTGAATGACAAGATATCACTAGAGCAAAACTGACTGAATGACAAGATATCACTAGAGCAAAACTGACTGAATGACAAGATATCACTAGAGCAAAGCTGACTGAATGACAAGATATCACTAGAGCAAAGCTGACTGAATGACAAGATATCACTAGAGCAAAGCTGACTGAATGACAAGATATCACTAGAGCAAAACTGACTGAATGACAAGATATCACTAGAGCAAAGCTGAATGACAAGGTATCACTAGAGCAAAACTGACTGAATGACAAGATATCACTAGAGCAAAGCTGACTGAATGACAAGATATCACTAGAGCAAAACTGACTGAATGACAAGATATCCCTAGAGCAAAGCTGACTGAATGACAAGATATCACTAGAGCAAAGCTGACTGAATGACAAGATATCACTAGAGTAAAACTGACTGAATGACAAGATATCAGTAGAGCAAAACTGACTGAATGACAAGATATCACTAGAGCAAAACTGACTGAATGACAAGATATCAGTAGAGCAAAACTGACTGAATGACAAGATATCACTAGAGCAAAACTGACTGAATGACAAGATATCAGTAGAGCAAAACTGACTGAATGATGATTTCAAACTTTGAATATTGATATGATGATTATATATTCTTCCCCGTGGAATCGATGAAGCCATACATGATAAGTGGTATACAGCTTCTCACAAAGATGGATTGTACTGTACTATTATGTTTCTTCAGCCATACGCCATTGTGATGGTGCCTTTCTGGAAGAGTGCCCAGATGTTGTATGATTTGACCAAGAAGCTTCTTTGTGGCAATTCTTACTTGCGTGTCCTGGTTACTTATGGAGGGGGAAATGAAGAAAGTCAAGTGGTAAGTATAGCAGTATATGTAGAATGTTAACATCATGTGCTTTTGTTTATAATACTGAATATTACCAGTGATGAACAGATAAAGAGAAACAATCTACAATTAATTGATTCCAAAATTACAAGGACGATTAACTTAGTCCAAAGTCTCAGAAATGCATCAGAGATTAAGTGTAATTTTGTATGTAAGATTGTTCATTTAGAGGTTATGTACTACATTGTAGCACCTTTAAAAGATTTCTTCAGTGTATTAAAAGATAGAAAACACAAATACCAATCTAGTAACAGATTCAAAGTTGCAATAAACATTGGTTTCAAGAATAACAATATATTCAGTGTTAACATATTGATAACTATTCATCAGTTAAGATATGACAGTGATTAAAATCAATGATCAGATGATGAAATATATTCTGTGATCTGTTATCTGTGACTTCCAGTCACTGAATCTTACTCTCCAAGACTATTTAACAAGGATGTATTTTGGTTAATGTAACAATCTTTGATTATTTTGGTAGTTATCAATTTAACATGTTTGGAGCGATTAATTTAAGGGATGCCTGAACATCCCAAAAATAAATTGCCTGCAAATAAATAGTTGTTGGTTTATAGTAATGAATAAGCTTGTTCTTTCTATAACTAGATGTAGAACATGATGAAAACAAACTCTGTGGATGGTAATTCCAACAATGTGTTACTTGATCTAGCACAGCCAAGAAGATTCTTGTTTGTCCTCTAGTTAAATCTCATTTTGTTTGATTTTGAGAAATGATTTCAGTTGAAATAGCCTTTTTCTTGTGTGTTTACAGGTACCATTAATCAATGGTTGTGAACTTTTGATAACCACACCACGTAGTTTATCTCGTCTCCTACAACAGAAGTACACACATCTGGAACGTCTCTGTCACATCGTAAGTTTAAATACCAGTTCTGACAGTCACCTCTAACGTATACTACACAACAGTGACTTTCACTAACCATTGTTTTGGATCTTTCCCATTATTACTTAGGAAAGATTATTCACACACCTCTGAATCATCTAAGGCTGAAAAGTCTAACACTCCACAGACTACACTATTACGGCCATTTATTTGATTTGGTATTGATAAGTTCAACAAATGAGATCTTTTTCACAATATAACACTGATATGTGTCACGATTTGTGAATAAAAAGCTTCAAAAAGACAACATCAAGGTGAATCTTCCTTTCTAAGTTTTAATGGTTTTGTAAATACACCTTCATATTTTAATATTGCTTCATGTCCAATGGAATCAGTTTTGTTGTGGACCTTGCTATCATGTTGGCTCTGTTATGATAACAATGTTAACATTAAATATAAATGATTTTGATGGCATTTTTAACATGATTGGCTGATGTGATGCAGATACATAATGTCCATTAGAATCCTGCTAAAACTGAGTTCAGCCATTAGCATATGCATGGTAGTTGCTGAAAGTAACAAATCCACAACTGAATCCAACATCACTACAGTACATGTATTGCACAAATATGCCCTGTTCATCTTGGACCCATATAGTAGTGCAAATTAGTCTGAAACTCATGTATGGAAGTATTCATCTTGACAGTCATGCTATAAGTGTATAAGCAGTCATGGCTAACATGGCAAACTGCCGCCACACAGGCAATTTGTAGCCAGCATGGACCAGTGCATGATTTTCCTGACATATTTTAGTCTTTTATGTGTGTTTTAAAGATCAATAATTTGTTGACAGTAACTGTTTAGGTATCGTGACATTAAGCTTGAATTATTATATCATATTGTGGGTTTGAATATTGGAGATTTGTCAATATATTGCAATTTGGTAGTATCTAATCATATTGGTATGCATATCTACAGGTTACAGACGATTCTGTATCATACTGTGGGTTTGAAAATGGAGGTTTGTCAATATACGGCCGTTTTATAGTATCTAATCATATTGGTATTTATATATACAGGTTATAGACGATGCTGAGATTGTTCTGGAAGAATTCAGGGAAGAAGTAAGTCATTCAGTATCTCCAAAATGATTTTATAGATCTGATAATCTGATCGGAACTAAATTTGGAAAAAATTGAATATTGTTTAGAAGTCTATGTGATGAGATGTTCTACAAACAAGCTGTGTTTATTATGCTTTTTTGACAAATAATTATCTCATGTTTTTTAAACCAACTTTTGAATGCAAATGATCTGAACAAAATCCATGAAAGTTACTTGTAAGGAATTAAGACTTGAATTATTATATTAAATTATTATATAAGTACATGTATAATATATATAAGTTTCTCGAAAGTTAAGTTTCTCAGAACCTCTTGTATTGCTGAAAGTTTATTGCAGCAAAAGAAAGTTCGTTTACAACATTTTGGGACATAAACATCTTTAATTTTGTCACCAGATTCAGGACTTCATGATCAGCTATTCACGGGTGGTGGAGGAGCATGTGGAACGCTCTGCTCCGCGTGAGGTCATTCTCTTTAGCTCTCGCTGGTGTAACATGGTAAATTCCTTTATTGATGCCTTCATGCCTGATCCCACCCTCATCATCACTTCTCGCTTTGAGGCATCCATTTACGGCCGTATCAAACATATCCCACTGTTGTGGCGGACGGACCAGTTAGCACCTCAGTTCCTGGAGCTGGTCAGTTCTCTGGCACAGGAAAACTGCAAGATGATCATCTTCTGTAGCAATGTCAACACAACCCTTTATATCCACAAGGTAAAGTTACTTCCTTTACATTGTAGCCTGAAAGTTTTACCTAGTCGGACACTACGTAGATAAAATGTGTGTTTGCTCAGGTGTTAATTTTGTGACATTTATGATATAATTACAAATGTTTGCAGTCATAGAAATTTCCCTTCATGCCAGGAAATGGAAAGGCTGATAGTGAGAGTTCAATTTTCAAAATATCAAAACATCAATGTCACATCCTTCCTAGACAGAGTTTTTGACATGATACACCACTTCTGGTAAAATCATATGAGAATTAGTCCATAGGAAGATGAGAGTGAAATCAGTGTTTACTCATATCAGTCCTGTATATTAGGAATAAGGCCATTCATTTACTGAAAACTTTCTTTTCAGTTGTTAAAGAGTCGGTCTTTGTACTCTTTACTGGCTCATGATAAAATGGACACATTGATGCTGGAGCAGATCGGAGGGGAATGGGCAGGGCCCTTAGACAAAGGAAAGATCCTTAGTAAGTATGATCGGTAAAGCAGACAGGAGGAGAATGGGCAGGGCCCTTAGACATAGGCAAGATCCTTAGTAAGTATGATTGGTAAAGCAGATCAGAGGGGAATGGGCAGGGCCCTTAGTCAAAGGAAAGATCCTTAGTAAGTATGATTGGTAAAGCAGATCAGAGGGGAATGGGCAGGGCCCTTAGTCAAAGGAAAGATCCTTAGTAAGTATGATTGGTAAAGCAGATCGGAGGGGAATGGGCAGGGCCCTTAGACATAGGCAAGATCCTTAGTAAGTATGATTGGTAAAGCAGATCAGAGGGGAATGGGCAGGGCCCTTAGTCAAAGGAAAGATCCTTAGTAAGTATGATTGGTAAAGCAGATCAGAGGGGAATGGGCAGGGCCCTTAGTCAAAGGAAAGATCCTTAGTAAGTATGATTGGTAAAGCAGATCAGGGGGGAATGGGCAGGGCCCTTAGACATAGGCAAGATCCTTAGTAAGTATGATTGGTAAAGCAGATCAGAGGGGAATGGGCAGGGCCCTTAGTCAAAGGAAAGATCCTTAGTAAGTATGATTGGTAAAGCAGATCAGGGGGGAATGGGCAGGGCCCTTAGACATAGGCAAGATCCTTAGTAAGTATGATTGGTAAAGCAGATCAGAGGGGAATGGGCAGGGCCCTTAGTCAAAGGAAAGATCCTTAGTAAGTATGATTGGTAAAGCAGATCAGAGGGGAATGGGCAGGGCCCTTAGTCAAAGGAAAGATCCTTAGTAAGTATGATTGGTAAAGTAAAATTGTGGTTTGACAAAGTTGGTTTAAGTTGGACTAAGTTGGCTAGTCATTGTGCTGAATGTGATAGGTATTTTATCTATATTATAGGCTTCAGTCGAGTTTTAGTTTATCTCAGATACTGACTGAGCTATTTGTTAATGGTACTGTTTTTCTTATGTGTTTTTTATGTCTTGTTTCCTCAGAATAACATCAAGTTTAGCATTCATGCAAGGGTTTTGTCAAGTTAATAAATAGACATGAACAATCAATACCTTCGTCTTTATCTGAAGACTCTAACGTGATATTAAAATATGAGTGAAATATTGCACAATTTGTATCTTAACATTAAATTGACACTGTTTCTTAGTTTGTACTGATGAGAGTGGAGAAGAGTTAAAAGTCGAGGATGCCACAGCCATTGTACATTATGACCTTCCGTCCTCAAAGACAAAGTTTGGAAACAGACTTTCCACTATGAGCAAGTACTACTACAACTCCACTAACAAAGAAAAGGTAGGTACATGATGCCAGCTAACTAGCTAGTGGGTCATTAGATGAAAGCATTCTTCTGATTTGTCAGGAATCATCTTTGTGGCTTTTTTACACGGTAATCAGATGAAAGCATTTTTATGATTTGTTGGATATCATCTTTTTGGTACTTTTAAGCGGTAATCAGATGAAAGTCAAATTCATTTGCGATCATATTCAAAGTTCAAAAATGTTCTTATAAATGTTTAGCTTACCATACTAAAACACTAATATAGAGGAATTGTTAGGTCCTTAAACTGGAAGGATGGTGCTGAATAGAGAAACCTGGACCTACATATTCTATATCAACAAAATTACTGGCATGACATTGAGGGGAAACTGAACATTTTATAAAGAAAAGGCACAGTCTCCTTGGTAACAGAAGCCATATTAAAATTGCGATGAATATTTGTGTTATTGTCATTATGATATTGACTGTATTATTTGTGTGAATATAATTCTTATATTGTCATGATGACTTTGATGTAGAGGTGCTACAGGCCCTCTTGGCCTCTTGCTGTAAAATGTCAAAGTAGCTGGTGTGCCACAACAGCCACTTGTTTTGTCAAAGGTCTCACAACACATGATAAGAGATATTGCATGTCAGTTATACAAGATTAAAGTGAAATTAATGTTGTTTTAGGTGGCTGATGTAGAGCCAACATCATACATCCTGATTACAGAAGATAGTGGTCGCCAGGTGGAAACTATTTTACAGCTGTTAAAGAGAACAAAAAGCAAAATTCCACGTAATCTTCACTCTATGGTCATGGGTATAAATCAGGTAAACGCAGCTACAAATCTAAGGTCCTGGGTACAAACCAGGTAAAACTAGCTACAAATCTATGGTCCTGGGTACAAACCAGGTAAAACTAGCTACAAATCTATGGTCCTGGGTACAAACCAGGTAAAACTAGCTACATATCTATGTAAAAGTAAATCTAGGATCCTAGGTATGAATCAGATCTCGCTGGTTTTTGAGCAAACATATATCTGTGAAGGATGTAACAAATATCTAAACTGGTAAAAAAAACATGTTATGCATGAGAACATTGGAATACTCAGAAATTTACAAATATTGTTTTTCAGAAGCTCATTTTCTGTGTTGAAAAAAGTAATGAAATATAGGGTACAGTCAAAAAGAACCAAGACAATTAGTACTACATATATGTAGTTCTAGCTATGTTTGAACTCCTTTTTCTAAAGAGAGTTTGCCAGCTTTTAGAGTTTCAATTTTTTTTTCTTTTATTTGTTATAGGAAAAAAACTGTGATGGAGAAAAGGAGTTATGTGTAGCCCTGAAAGCTTACGGTTCATGCAGGTATGAACTCTGCTATAGCAGTTTTCATTGGCTTCTGATAGCATCCATTGTTGATACCTTGTTGTGAATATGTAAAATAAATAGTTAACAAAACAATGGGACTTTATTTTAAGAACTTTATACTTCGTTAATAAATACACGCAGTGAAATCCCAATTTAAGATGTCTTATTTCATGGTTCACCTTATGATTGGTAATGCTCTTCAACTAGACTTGTTAGTGGAAAGACTGTACCTAAGTAATACCCATGCTTACTGTATCAACCCAAAACGTAAAAATCAAATTACTGATATAAGTTTGGTTTTGGTTTGTCTAGATACCAGAACAAATGTACAGCTCGACACGCTCTGGTACCAGAGATTGATTGTACAGTTAACCAGCAAGAATTCAATAGTGGCGAAGTCAAGGTAAGGTGTTTTAAAAATTCCACTTGCTTTGGTACCAGTGGTGGCTAATTTAGACATTTTACAACATGTCTTGATACCAGATATAGACTGTGCAAACCTGTTGCTGTCTTTCACCTTTCAGGAGTTAATTAAAGGACGGTAAAGGACGGTAAAGACTGGTCAAGTTGACATTGCAGGTTACTTAAGTCATATATTTTATCAGGTCTTTTTAATTATACAAATTGTCATTTTTTATCACACTGTTTTCAGTTAGAAAAGCACATTGAAATTATCTTGAGTAAACTAGATTCGAGATTTATTGGAATCTGACCGTTGTTTACTATACAGGTGTTGGTTACTAATGTGGTGAATGCAAGTCATTACTTTGTGAGGGTGTTAGAACACAGACCGCCCAATGGAGACAAGTTGGATACATCAATTATGATGCTGGATCTAAGATTCAAAATGGCTGAATGGTTTGGGGACGTCCAACACAGATCCAAGTACAGTAAGTCATCTGTAGCTTTTGTTGTACTAAAGTAAGATCACTTGCCTTGAAGACATAGGGAATGTATTTGATTCTCAAACAGAATATTATTATTTCTACTTCAATATTTTTTTATAAATAAATGTGACTCCTGATTCAAAAGATTACTATGTTGTAGTGTATTTGTGTGATACATTTAAATTGTAAGAGGCCAACTGACTGATAAACTTGTAACACAAGGGTTCAAAAGATGCCGGGGCGTGAAACTTATGGGGAAATTTTATGGTCTTTGTGTGACATGAAGCTGTTCATATATGATGCTCATTAGTTTGCCTGTTGGTTCTGTTGTTGTATACAGTATTGTCCGAATTATAACTCAGTTTTTTCTTCGGATATCCTCTGGACATTGGTTCCAAACTATTATGTATTTAGGAATGGCCATTTTGTCGAGGCATATCACATGCACTAGTGACCTAAGTGAACTTGCACCCAAATAATTTTGGTTGGTTGCTTTGAAGCCATAGTGGAAGTTTACAGTAGCCCGTTGCATCTTGGGATTGATAGGTCATCAGGTCAAATTATAGAATAGCCATTATGCTTGGTAGCAGGAAACAGTAAATTTGCATTTTTCCTGAAAATATTGGTCATGTTTGAGATATACTGGTAAAGCAGATTGGTTATAAAAAATACATCATTACTTGTATATATATTTATAACCTTCATAACAATTATATTTATAGTAGAAGAATAAATATGGTGTTAATCAAAAATTTCCTCTGAGTTCTTAAATGTTACCAACTCAAAAAATTCTAAATATACAAAAATACTACCAATTCCAACCTAACACTACAACTTTATAGGAGAAATTTATTTCTGAACACTTGTCTTTAAATCAACAACACTGTCATTATAATGAACTACTTACATTTTAGCAAATTCCAACCTGGAACGCCTTTACAACAGGACCATGTGTAAACACTATGAAAATTTCCCTTTCTGTGAAGCTAGTTTTTGGAGTGTAGACACAGATTCGAAACTGCCCAAATAGTAATTGCCAACACAATGCAATAATAGTATTCTGAAAAATATGAAACCTCACATTGTCCACTTCAACATGAAAAGACCAATTTTATCAAGGATTTATTTTTCAAATTTTGATTTAAGACCTTTATAATGGGGTAATCTGATGAACAAAAATATCACTCATGGCAACACCGAGAAACTGCCACCTTGTTTATGATGAGAATAGCTTCATGTAACTTACAATAAATAATTTGTGACTATAAGAATTTGGCAGCATGCAAGGGTCTTCGCTAATAGTTAACAGTACAGACACCGTTGGAGATATTGTTAAGTAAACTGTGTGTAACATCAGACCCTATATCTGTGATGGCTCCCAAGCCAAATGAGTTCGATATTTGCTAGTTCACGTTTACGAAACACATCAATGAAATGAAGGATTACCTGTGTATAATTCATTTTCAAATTTATATGGAATATTTCACTGACGATCTTGATAAATTGCCTTCTGTTGTTTTTATATCGATGAACTTTGGTCAACATAATGGTAACCACATCAGAAGAAAGGGTGCGGCTTATATTCCGATGCAGCTAATATATGGATCAAAAATGGAAAAACTGTTAACGATACATACTAGTGCAGCTTATAATACAGAAAATATGATTCCTTTTTCTCATTTGAGAGCATGACATTACTTACTTGGAATTATCAAGGTTTACTTGGTGGGTGTCATCGATGAAGCAGAAGACACATACTCTTCTGGAACACTTGGTCTTATTCTCCTTGTACTTTTTCATGAGTCTATATGGAAATCTTTCTTTTGTTCATATTTTGCTCTTTGGAATTTGAGTTTGAATTATAATTTTGTTACTGTGTTGGTATTTTCTTTATTTTTTTTATAATCAACCTCAGTAGACATAAGAAACTAGTTTTCTCTTTCAATTCGTTATTTCATATTTTGAATTTATCCTGTGTAAAAAGAAATGGATTGAAATTTTAAGCACTGAAAGGCTGATTATGTTTGTTGTAATCATATGACATATGACTGGAAGTTTTGTGTATATTGCAGGTAACCTGTGTTTGGGGGAGATGTGTGCAGTATCAGAGGACGAGGAAACCTATCACAGGTCTGTATTTCTATAGGTTGGTGGTCGACTTTGTTATGTTACCTAAGGAGGCAACATATAGGGATCACTTTGTCAGCAAAGGTGTCAAGGTCATAAATGGCGTGTCATTGAAAAATACAGTTTTCAAAATTATTAATGTTGTGTCATTTCATATATACAGTTGTCAAGGTCATAAATGGTGTGTCATTTCATAGTTACAGTTGTCAAGGTCATAAATGGTGTGTCATTTTATATATACAGTTGTGAAGGTGATAAATGGTGTGTCATTTTATATATACAGTTGTCAAGGTGATAAATGGTGTGTCATTTTATATATACAGTTTTCAAGGTGATAAATGGTGTGTCATTTTATATATACATGGTGTCATTTTATATATACAGTTTTCAAGGTGATAAATGGTGTGTCATTTTATATATACAGTTGTCGAGGTAATAAATGTTGTGTCATTGTTTATGTACAGTTTTCAAGGTGATAAATGGTGTGTCATTTTATATATACAGTTGTCCAGGTAATAAATGTTGTGTCATTGTTTATGTACAGTTTTCAAGGTGATAAATGGTGTGTCATTTTATATATACAGTTTTCAAGGTGATAAATGGTGTGTCATTTTATATATACAGTTGTCGAGGTAATAAATGTTGTGACATTGTTTATGTACAGTTTTCAAGGTGATAAATGGTGTGTCATTTTATATATACAGTTGTGAAGGTGATAAATGGTGTGTCATTTTATATATACAGTTTTCAAGGTGATAAATGGTGTGTCATTTTATATATACAGTTGTATATATACATTGTTTATGTACAGTTTTCAAGGTGATAAATGGTGTGTCATTTTATATATACAGTTGTGAAGGTGATAAATGGTGTGTCATTTTATATATACAGTTTTCAAGGTGATAAATGGTGTGTCATTTTATATATACAGTTGTCGAGGTAATAAATGTTGTGTCATTGTTTATGTACAGTTTTCAAGATGATAAATGGCGTGTCATTTTATATATACAGTTGTCAAGGTGATAAATGGTATGTCATTTTATATATACAGTTTTCAAGGTTTATGGTGTGTCATTTTATATATACAGTTGTCAGGATGATATATGATGTGTTAGTTTATATACAGTTTATGTATCTTGTCATGTAATCATAAATGTGCTGTTACATATTTTTGATTTTAGATTCAAACAATGACAAAACGAAATATTTCCTAACTTGGGTTTATGAAGACATGAAACTTATAGTAGTGGGAGGCTGAAGTGTCATTATGGTCAGAATCAATATATTATTACAAAGAACTCATATTTCTTTCACATGCTTTATATCTATGTTTTATTGGTTACATAGGGTGAAGATTTGTGACATCACAGGTATAAACTCACCAGGAGATCGGATCAAGGCGGAGGTGAGGCTTTTATTAAAACAGTATTTAATAATAACTGACAAATACAAAAGGATTTCTTTCTTGCTCGTAAATTGTGGTTTCACTGACTGAATATTCAAAATGCTATAAGCATAAAAAATTTAGTGTGATCAGATTAGAGCATTATCTTTTTTAGGAGAAAAATAGCGTAATGATGAATTCATACATCCACAATTATTGCTACATACACAACATTCAGAAAGTGAAAATGGCGTAATCATACCGGTAATTTAGGGCAGTAGTTACTTTTAACATTTACATCGTAACTTTTATGGACATCACACATGATAAAGAGGATACAGTTGTAATATTGTGTGTTCTGTCTTGCTGTGATGCTACATGGTATATAAGAATAACCTGACTATCGGTTTCATTTTCAGGTGATGTTTGTTGATGATGGCAGAAAAAGTTTTGTGCCTCTAGATAAACTTTACAATCTACCTCCACACCTCAGGGATGTCCCATATCAGGTCAGAAACATTTTTTTGGCCCTGTTAAAATGATTGATATTTGTAGATCATTACACAGGGTTCTGTTTTTAGAGTGGTAGGTGTTTCTATATTAATTGTGACACAGGGTTCTGTTTTTAGAGTGGTAGGTGTTTCTATATTAATTGTGACACAGGGTTCTGTTTTTAGAGTGGTAGGTGTTTCTATATTAATTGTGACACAGGGTTCTGTTTTTAGAGTGGTAGGTGTTTCTATATTAATTGTGACACAGGGTTCTGTTTTTAGAGTGGTAGGTGTTTCTATATTAATTGTGACACAGGGTTCTGTTTTTAGAGTGGTAGGTGTTTCTATATTAATTGTGACACAGGGTTCTGTTTTTAGAGTGGTAGGTGTTTCTATATTAATTGTGACACAGGGTTCTGTTTTTAGAGTGGTAGGTGTTTCTATATTAATTGTGACACAGGGTTCTGTTTTTAGAGTGGTAGGTGTTTCTATATTAATTGTGACACAGGGTTCTGTTTTTAAGAGTGGTAGGTGTTTCTATATTAATTGTGACACAGGGTTCTGTTTTTAGAGTGGTAGGTGTTTCTATATTAATTGTGACACAGGGTTCTGTTTTTAGAGTGGTAGGTGTTTCTATATTAATTGTGACACAGGGTTCTGTTTTTAGAGTGGTAGGTGTTTCTATATTAATTGTGACACAGGGTTCTGTTTTTAGAGTGGTAGGTGTTTCTATAATAATTGTGACACAGGGTTCTGTTTTTAGAGTGGTAGGTGTTTCTATAATAATTGTGACACAGGGTTCTGTTTTTAGAGTGGTAGGTGTTTCTATATTAATTGTGACACAGGGTTCTGTTTTTAGAGTGGTAGGTGTTTCTATATTAATTGTGACACAGGGTTCTGTTTTTAGAGTGGTAGGTGTTTCTATATTAATTGTGACACAGGGTTCTGTTTTTAGAGTGGTAGGTGTTTCTATATTAATTGTGACACAGGGTTCTGTTTTTAGAGTGGTAGGTGTTTCTATATTAATTGTGACACAGGGTTCTGTTTTTAGAGTGGTAGGTGTTTCTATATTAATTGTGACACAGGGTTCTGTTTTTAGAGTGGTAGGTGTTTCTATATTAATTGTGACACAGGGTTCTGTTTTTAGAGTGGTAGGTGTTTCTATATTAATTGTGACAGGGTTCTGTTTTTAGAGTGGTAGGTGTTTCTATATTAATTGTGACACAGGGTTCTGTTTTTAGAGTGGTAGGTGTTTCTATATTAATTGTGACACAGGGTTCTGTTTTTAGAGTGGTAGGTGTTTCTATATTAATTGTGACACAGGGTTCTATTTTTAGAGTGGTAGGTGTTTCTATATTAATTGTGACACAGGGTTCTGTTTTTAGAGTGGTAGGTGTTTCTATATTAATTGTGACACAGGGTTCTGTTTTTAGAGTGGTAGGTGTTTCTATATTAATTGTGACACAGGGTTCTGTTTTTAGAGTGGTAGGTGTTTCTATATTAATTGTGACACAGGGTTCTGTTTTTAGAGTGGTAGGTGTTTCTATATTAATTGTGACACAGGGTTCTGTTTTTAGAGTGGTAGGTGTTTCTATATTAATTGTGACACAGGGTTCTGTTTTTAGAGTGGTAGGTGTTTCTATATTAATTGTGACACAGGGTTCTGTTTTTAGAGTGGTAGGTGTTTCTATATTAATTGTGACACAGGGTTCTGTTTTTAGAGTGGTAGGTGTTTCTATATTAATTGTGACACAGGGTTCTGTTTTTAGAGTGTTAGGTGTTTCTATATTAATTGTGACACAGGGTTCTGTTTTTAGAGTGGTAGGTGTTTCTATATTAATTGTGACACAGGGTTCTGTTTTTAGAGTGGTAGGTGTTTCTATATTAATTGTGACACAGGGTTCTGTTTTTAGAGTGGTAGGTGTTTCTATATTAATTGTGACACAGGGTTCTGTTTTTAGAGTGGTAGGTGTTTCTATATTAATTGTGACACAGGGTTCTGTTTTTAGAGTGGTTCTGTTTTTAGGTGTTTCTATATTAATTGTGACACAGGGTTCTATTTTTAGAGTGGTAGGTGTTTCTATATTAATTGTGACACAGGGTTCTGTTTTTAGAGTGATTGATGTTTCTATATTAATTGTGACACAGGGTTCTGTTTTTAGAGTGTTAGGTGTTTCTATATTAATTGTGACACAGGGTTCTGTTTTTAGAGTGTTAGGTGTTTCTATATTAATTGTGACACAGGGTTCTGTTTTTAGAGTGGTAGGTGTTTCTATATTAATTGTGACACAGGGTTCTGTTTTTAGAGTGGTAGGTGTTTCTATATTAATTGTGACACAGGGTTCTGTTTTTAGAGTGATTGATGTTTCTATATTAATTGTGACACAGGGTTCTGTTTTTAGAGTGATTGATGTTTCTATATTAATTGTGACACAGGGTTCTGTTTTTAGAGTGGTAGGTGTTTCTATATTAATTGTGACACAGGGTTCTATTTTTAGAGTGATTGATGTTTCTATATTAATTGTGACACAGGGTTCTGTTTTTAGAGTATATCATACATAAATGTACCAGAAATTCTGTTTCTATATTAATTGTGACACAGGGTTCTGTTTTTAGAGTGGTAGGTGTTTCTATATTAATTGTGACACAGGGTTCTGTTTTTAGAGTGGTAGGTGTTTCTATATTAATTGTGACACAGGGTTCTATTTTTAGAGTGATTGATGTTTCTATATTAATTGTGACACAGGGTTCTATTTTTAGAGTGATTGATGTTTCTATATTAATTGTGACACAGGGTTCTGTTTTTAGAGTGGTAGGTGTTTCTATATTAATTGTGACACAGGGTTCTGTTTTTAGAGTGGTAGGTGTTTCTATATTAATTGTGACAAAGGGTTCTGTTTTTAAGAGTGGTAGGTTAATCTGATACCATGCTTCACCGATGTGTAAGGCCTCACAATATATCATACATAAAATACCATGAAATTCTTCTTTTCTCACATCCTGCTGATTTGTGAAGTATTCAGGTTTGATATGGAAAAGATACTTTTACCAGGAGGAATTTCACAGAATTTTTATTTCCCGAAAGAAGAATGATCTCAATTGTATCTCCCTGTTAATGAATACAAAAATGAGTGTTCATTCCAATGAATAAATTTGCAGAGTGCTTTACAGGGAGTAATTTCATTTCATTTGTAACATTTTATTTCAGGCATTAGAAGTGTTTATCTGTCGAGTACAACCAGTCGACCTGGACGAAAACTGGACAAGCAAGGTCAGACATCAGTAGAGAAAGAAAGTTTTTGGAATTTGATATCATGAGATAAGTAATGATATGTAAACAAGACAGAAAAATATGACTTAATGGTTTACAATATTCCAATCAAAATGACATTTCTAAAACAAACGACCTGATTTATGTTGTCAGATGAACTTATAAATGTTGTGAAACATGTGTAATATCTCTACTATGATGTCATGGATAAGTCATCTCTCAATGAGACATCTGTAATATATCTATTATGATGTCATGAATAAGTCATCTCTCATGAGACATCTGTAATATATCTATTATGATGTCATGAATAAGTCATCTCTCAATGAGACATCTGTAATATATCTATTATGATGTCATGAATAAGTCATCTCTCATGAGACATCTGTAATATATCTATTATGATGTCATGGATAAGTCATCTCTCATGAGACATCTGTAATATATCTATTATGATGTCTTGTATAAGTCACATCTGTCATAAGACACAGAGAATAATTCTGTTATGATGTCATGAATAAGATGCCTCCATCATAAGACACATGTGTAATAAAACTATTGTGATGTCTTGAATAAGTCTTGATGATTGTGTGATGATCTTGTTAGTGAAAAAGGTACTATTCATGTCGAAATCAATTATTATCTGTTAATTTGAAAGTTTTTGCTTACTTTTTGAGAAAACAGGTTATATGAATCTTACACTGCCTTTGTAGTATGCATTTATTAAAGCTGTTTAATTATTTGAAATGTCACTCTCCTCTGAAGGCTTGTGACACATCAGCTTATTGAACTAGTTTTAAAAATTCCTCATTACATTGACACTCTGGTTGTATTCCGTTTTAATCTGGCAGATTATGATCAAGTATATATCTGTGAAGGATGTAACAAGTAAACATTTAAACTGGTAAAAATACATGTTACGCATGAGAAGATTGGGATACTCAAAAATTAACAATACTTTTTTTTCAGAAACCATGAAATTAAAAAAGTAAGATAATTTGTACTACTTATATGTAGTTCTAGCTATATTTTAACTCTTTTTCTCAGAAAGTTTGTCAGCTTTGAGAATTTCAATTGTTTTAATGCTCCTCAAAAAAACTATAGGGTAGCATATAGTCGCCACTTGGTCCATCTGCCAGTGCATCTTTCAATCAGTCCTTTTATGTCCAGAGCATAACTTTGCCCACAGTTAAGCAAGGATCATGAAACTTGGTGTATACATTGGTCATGCTAAAGGGAAGTACAGAGTTATTGTTGTTTTCTTTTTAATTTTATGTCCGGAGCATAACTTTGCTTGCCTGCATGAGTTTGACTTCGTACATTATTCAGAGTAACAGGTCTTGAATGGATTGCAAATCCAGTGTTCAGATGTTGCTGATAAACTTTTGTCACTCCATACAGGCGAGTATGTTTGTGTATGACCTTCTCAACCAGAAGACTATGGATGGCAGGATTGTCCTCAGGTATGCTTTGATGACCTCTGTATGACCTTCTTACTTTTGTTCTATGATATCGTTATGGTTTGAAATGCTGATGGTAGCTAACAAATAAAAGGTTGGTTTCTAAGGTCTTCCAATTACGATTGTGTGATTTATTTTCCCAAGAAACACAATTCTAATATTCATGCATATTATCTGACAGGGATAATTTTGTCCTGAATAATGTACCCTTTCAGATTTAAAGCAAAGCTTATCAAAATATTTAATATATTTATCTAAAGGCATTTTGTTTTTTCGTACAATCTGTTTGATTGAATATTTTGTCTGTAAATTTCTTGTGACATTAAACTCGGAACATGCATTTTGTTTTTGAAACATCAGTAATATGATTTAGTTTTGTTTTATTTAGGGTTGGTAATACACTATGGTTAGACCCGTTGGTGGAAAGAATATACCTCACTGATGTTCATGCTTATTGTACCAATCTTTTTGTACGCTCAGAACTCCTGAAAAATGGATTTGCTGTAGACAATCCAAATGTAAGTCACTTGAGATATTAAAACATTTATGGATGAAATTGAAATTGAGATACAATTTTACTTGAAAGGAGATAAAAAAAAGAAATTCAGAAGAGATGAATAAATGTTGCAATTTTAATAATACCATTTAAATGTCATAATTGAATATTTCTATTTTTCTGGTATTGTAAAATTTGCTTGTGACTTCATTTGTTCTCAATATTTTAACCTTTTGATATCAGATAAAGCACAAGTGACTTGTAAACTGTTGTACAACAGTTAATGTATCTGAGAATTAGCCTATGACATATCAGCTAAGCTTGAAGCATTGGATGGGTCCAATATTTTGTTTGGTTCTTTGGATATAAAACATTTGAGACTTGAATTTTTTGCATTTAATCTTCCAGCACCTGCAGCTGTTGTACGACCTTTGTAAGGAACACGTAGAGGTCCCTAAACTCAACTTACACTCAGACCAGTAAGTCTTTGTGAGGGTCTTTGTGATGGACAAATATGGGGCCTCAAAATAAATCTTAGCTTACACATATATAGGCCTTGAAACTCTGCCAAAAGTCAGACAGGAAAAGATGAATTTTTGAGAAAGGATAGGTCTCGAATCTTGGAAAAGAATTGATGACTTTTTAAGGACAGAGATCTTTATTTCTGACTTTGTGAGTACAGAAAAAGGTCAAGTAACAGTTATCTATGTTATTTGTAAAGATAAAAGAGCCTATTGTCATCTAAGTTAGGTATGCTGCTTGTATTTGAATGATGTAGGCAACTTAACTCTTACCACTACTGGATCTAGTGATTACAAACCCCAGTAAATTTGGTCCTTCACTCTCAGAATACATCCTTTTTATCTCCCCTGTGCATTGGTGTGAAGATCAACTAGCTGATAAAATATTGAAAATGGTTATTCTTAAATGTTGGATAATTGATGAAAATATCAAATGTTGTTGGTTACTTATTTTCGATCTATGGTTATTACACCGTGTAAGACAACTAAAGTGACTCTTTGTTGATAATATTTCACCACTTTTCTCTATCACGATGGATAACAACTATCCAGAAGCATTTACACATCTCTAAGAAAGATTAAGGTATTAAATATAATGTCATTTATAGCAAGATTAATATTTAAAGGCGTAATATAAAGTGATACTAGGTCACATCACCATTCTGTCTTAATAATTTGAAGAAGGTTATTTACCTTGTCTAGTGACAGAGTACAATTCTGTCGATATGTAATACTTAAAAATTATAAATGCTAATGTTCAAATATGATTATAAATATGTATACAGAAATATATAGTGCTTTCATGAGGCTCAAATTTCAAAATTTTTCAGCAAGTTTCTCATTGGCACTTTATTGTATGGATGAAGACTGTTCACAACCCCATCTTGTACTAAAAATGAATATCGGTTCTCAGCTATTTTTCATTCCACAAATACCTAGGGATCATGTATTAAGTGTCTTCAAAGAACGAGCTAAAATGAACTAAGACATATAGTTAGATGGTGTAGATAACATTTAATTGCACTATGATCGCCTATATTGAGAATTACAGAATCTAGAGGTGAATCACCAGCTTATATACAAAGGCTTTTTACGTATATAAAATGTATCTCTTCAGATCAGAGAAGAAAACTGAAGTGGAAATTTTACCAGAATCCAAAGAATCTCATGACGTTCATCTGTCTGCTATCATCTCTCCAACACTGATATATCTCCAGAGGAGCGAAAGCACGAAACAGTAAGTGATGAAGGTTTGAAAAATAAAACATGTTGATACTGTCCTGTTAAATGTGCTGATGAACACTGGGAAACAAATTCTCAGCTGAAGCAGTATATGGGCAGCAGGTTGACCTGTTTTCATGATTTTAGCATGCCTAGTCACATTTCTATGTATAACAATTATCTTTTTTCAACCAGAAAGAGTTGCACAGAAATGGTTTTCTTTTGAAATGGTAACCTAGGTATAGAAATATATATTTGTGTATATGTATACTTATGTGTAGCCATTTACAAGAAGTATCTAAGTGATTGGAACAACAAAAAACACAAAAGTTTATTAAAGTGCCTTTTGGCCTATCATCATCTGAAAAATATAGATATACACATATTTCTTTACCAAAACAGAGAATATCAAACTGCAGTCTTATATAAACTAGGCTACACTTATGTCTTATATAAACTATACTACACTTATGTCTTATATAAACTATACTACACTATGTCTTATATAAACTAGGCTACACTTATGTCTTATTTAAACTATACTACACTTATGTCTTATATAAACTATACTACACTTATGTCTTATATAAACTATACTACACTTATGTCTTATATAAACTATACTACACTTATGTTTTATATAAACTACTACACTTATGTCTTATATAAACTATACTACACTTATGTCTTATATAAACTATACTACACTTATGTCTTATATAAACTATACTACACTTATGTCTTATATAAACTATACTACACTTATGTCTTATATAAACTAGGCTACACTTATGTCTTATATATACTAGGCTACACTTATGTCTTATATAAACTAGGCTACACTTATGTCTTATATAAACTATACTACACTTATGTCTTATATAAACTAGGCTACACTTATGTCTTATATAAACTAGGCTACACTTATGTCTTATATAAACTAGGCTACACTTATGTCTTATATAAACTAGGCTACACTTATGTCTTATATAAACTAGGCTACACTTATGTCTTATATAAACTATACTACACTTATGTCTTATATAAACTATACTACACTTATGTCTTATATAAACTATACTACACTTATGTCTTATATAAACTAGGCTTCACTTATGTCTTATATAAACTATGTTACACTTATGTCTTATATAAACTATACTACACTTATGTCTTATATAAACTATACTACACTTATGTCTTATATAAACTATACTGCACTTATGTCTTATATAAACTATACTACACTTATGTCTTATATAAACTATACTACACTTATGTCTTATATAAACTATACTACACTTATGTCTTATATAAACTATACTACACTTATGTCTTATATAAACTAGGCTACACTTATGTCTTATATAAACTATACTACACTTATGTCTTATATAAACTATATTACACTTATGTCTTATATAAACTAGGCTACACTTATGTCTTATTTAAACTATACTACACTTATGTCTTATATAAACTATACTACACTTATGTCTTATATAAACTATACTACACTTATGTCTTATATAAACTATACTACACTTATGTCTTATATAAACTAGGCTACACTTATGTCTTATATAAACTAGGCTACACTTATGTCTTATTTAAACTATAATACACTTATGTCTTATATAAACTATACTACACTTATGTCTTATATAAACTAGGCTACACTTATGTCTTATATAAACTAGGCTACACTTATGTCTTATATAAACTATACTACACTTATGTCTTATATACTATACTACACTTATGTCTTATATAAAAACTAGGCTACACTTATGTCTTATATATGACCACTACACTGTATGTCTTAATAAACTGTACTACACTTATGTCTTATATAAACTAGGCTACACTTATGTCTTATATAAACTAGGCTACACATGTCTTATATAACATACTACACTTGTGTCTTATATAAACTATACTACACTTATGTCTTATATAAACTAGGCTACACTTATGTCTTATATAAACTATGCTACACTTATGTCTTATATAAACTAGGCTACACTTATGTCTTATATATAAGGCTACACTTATGTCTTATATATACTACACTTATGTCTTATATAAACTATACTACACTTATGTCTTATATAAAATACTAACTTATGTCTTATATAAACTATACTACACTTATGTCTTATATAACTATACTACACTTGTGTCTTATATAAACTAGGCTACACTTATGTCTTATATAAACTATACTACACTTATGTCTTATATAAACTAGGCTATATAAACTAGGCTACACTTATGTCTTATATATACTAGGCTACACTTATGTCTTATATAAACTAGGCTACACTTATGTCTTATATACTACATACTGTAGTAACATGTTAATTGCTTACATGCCTGTACCTAGTCTTTTGTGATGCATTTGCAAAGTTCTGCATCCTAACTTCTAAGTCGAAAATCAAAGGTAGGAAGTTATGTTAAAGATATAAGTTTTTGATTCAGGTTGGAAAAAATGAATGATGAAATAAACATGAGGATGAAGAATGCTGAAGCAACAGAAATTAAGTTGACCAGCCTAAAAACAGGGTCTGTGTGTCTTGCCAAGTTTGGTGAGGACAATATGTAAGTAACTGTTTAATAGATATGATTGAATTTCATTTTGATAAGGTCTGTTGAGTTGAGATGCACCTTCAGATGAGTGACACACCAGAAGTATGGACATCCACTAGCCTGACGTCTGGGGACTTTTAGCTAATGCTAGTTGGAATTACAGGCCCACTAGCCCAGCCCTAGTGAAAGCCTGATGTCTGGGGATTTTCAGCTTATGCTAGTTGGAATTACAGACCCACTAGCCCAGCCCTAGTGACAGCCTGATGTCTGGAGATTTTCAGCTAATGCTAGTTGGAATTACAGGCCCACTAGCCCAGCCCTAGTGAAAGCCTGACGTCTGGGGGGTTTTCAGCTTATGCTAGTTGGAATTACAGACCCACTAGCCCATCCCTAGTGACAGCCTGACGTCTGGGGATTTTCAGCTTATGCTAGTTGGAATGACAGGCCCACTAGTCCAGCCCTAGTGACAGCCTAACGTATGGGGATTTTCAGCTAATGCTAGTTGGAATTACAGGCCCACTAGCCCAGCCCTAGTGAAAGCTTGACGTCTGGGGGGTTTTCAGCTTATGCTAGTTGAAATTACAGACCCACTAGCTCAGCCCTAGTGACTTTATATAGACAGCTTTTTCCCCCCAAGCAGACACTAAAGAATTTATTACCATTTCTTATCATAACATCTGAAACATATAACATAGACTTGCTTTCTTTTATCATAACCGGGAACATTTTCATCGAGATTGAAGTTTTTATTCCCTGAAGTTAGCCCATAACATCTGGTCTATTGTCTGTCCGTCCATTGTAAACAATTTTTGTTATTACCATTTCTTGAGAAGCACTGGATGGATCTTTCTCAAATTTCATCTGAAGATCCCATTGGTCCCTAGTTATGCTCATTTAATTTTGGGACTAATTCGAAAAACAAAATGGCTGACAGACGGCCATCTTTGATTTTCTCAATGAAGTTTGTTACCGCTATTTCTTGAGAAGAACTGGATGGGTCTCTCTCAAACTGAGAAGTTTGCAAGGACACAGACTTAATGTATTTGTGTAACAAGGACACAGACTTAGTATATTTGTGTAACAAGGACACAGACTTAACGTATTTGTGTAGCAAGGACACAGACTTAATGTATTTGTGTAACAAGGACACAGACTTAGTGTATTTATGTAACAAGGACACAGACTTAACGTATTTGTGTAACAAGGACACAGACTTAATGTATTTGTGTAACAAGGACACAGACTTAATGTATTTGTGTAACAAGGACACAGACTTAATGTATTTGTGTAACAAGGACACAGACTTAACGTATTTGTGTAACAAGGACACAGACTTAACGTATTTGTGTAACAAGGACACAGACTTAACGTATTTGTGTAACAAGGACACAGACTTAACGTATTTGTGTAACAAGGACACAGACTTAACGTATTTGTGTAACAAGGACACAGACTTAATGTATTTGTGTAACAAGGACACAGACTTAATGTATTTGTGTAACAAGGACACAGACTTATTGTATTTCTGTTTTGTTTTAGGTGGTACAGAGTGCGGATATTGAAAGAGCTGGATGATAACACTGTAGAAGTGCTCCATGTTGACTTTGGTGATCGGGAAACAGTGTCGAGGGATAACCTGCAAAAGATCCCACAGGAATTCCTAGAGCTTCCCTTCCAGGCCATTGAAGCTGGATTGTCTCATGTGGTGCCACGAGGTATGTTTACTCACAGTTTGTAGGGGTGAGGCTATCTTAATCTTATCTTAAGTAAACGTTAAATTTTATGTTTGATAAAAGTTTTTAATTAAATTTTCTGTTGAATAGAATACTTCTTCAATAATTGGACTTTACTCACTGCTTTATGTATCAGACTTAAGATAATTTATGTAGTGACAATATTCTCAAGGTTAAATGATAATCTAGTAATATCTATTGTATCTTTAGCAGTAGTAGCATATATATAAAGACCTGATAATCAAATGAGCTTTTTATTATCTAGTGGTATCTACATTTACCATTGTAGTTGACTACATAACCTTTGTCATTCCTGTTATCATTATACATTAAGGATGTGAGATTCTCTCTCACACACTTGGTGATACGTGTCTATGAATGAGTGACTCCTACATAAAAATGTAATATCACAGAATTTCAGATTAATTTCATGCACTTTAAAATACCTACACAAATAAAATCCATTTGAAATTTTATCATTTAAGCCAAAATTTGTGAAAATATCGAGCTTTTTTTTACAAGATCTCAATGAAATAAGCACTGCAATTTTGTATTAAGTTAATGATAATTAAGTGTGTGAAGCATATGTTACTATGTTATGGGACGGATTGAAACAATAGGCTGCTCCAAGATTGAAAGTTTTAGGGCGACAAACTAAATGCTTGCTTTAATTTGTGTCTTGAAACTGAACTTGAACAATTGAACTTGGCTGAATTGCATATCTGGCTTAATTGTGTACCAGAGCTTCATATATCATGAACACACAAGTTTATTTATAAGAATAATTTTCTTTCTTTTATTTGTTTTTTGTTCTGGCTCTTAGATATAGATTAGGCTGTCTTATCCTTTTCATTGCAAAATGAAGTGAAAAATGTGCAACGAAAGAAAATTGGAAAACAAAATCTAGATTGATCTAGACAGAGAGGGGATGATAGGGATAATAAAGTTGACAATATTTTTATACCACTGACATTTCAGGAGAGTTGGATTTGGCAGAGGGGGAGCAATATGCATCGTATAACTCATGATTCTCTGTCATACCTTGAGAACCTCTTAACAGATTTGGTTTATATCTATCCCACAGTATCATGACATCAAATCTTTAGCAGTGACCAAGTTCTTGTCTTATAGACACCTTTTGAGTCATATTTAATAATAGTTCTTTTACTAGGATGTAGAAGTGCTGCAGTGTTGTTTATAGATAGGGCAATCTGGCACTATATTGTTATTGTTAACACCAACTGTTGTAGATGAAATGTGGGAAAAAGCTGCAGAGGATCTCATCTGGGACCTTGCTCACTATGTGACGAATGAGATGAAAGTTCTCACAGCCAAGGTAAGACAGCTGTGTGACAAATGTTCTCACAGCCAAGGTAAGACAGCTGTGTGATGAATGTTCTCACAGCCAAGGTAAGACAGCTGTGTGACAAATGTTCTCACAGCCAAGGTAAGACAGCTGTGTGACAAATGTTCTCACAGCCAAGGTAAGACAGCTGTGTGATGAATGTTCTCACAGCCAAGGTAAGTCTGCTGTGTGATGAATGAGATGAAAGTTCTCACAGCCAAGTTAGGTCACTGTTGTACAGGATCTCACTCACTATGTAATGAATGAGATGAAAGGCCTTGGTAAGTCACTGCTAATAGAGAAGCTCACTATGTGGTGAACAAGATGAAAGTTCTCACAGCCAAGGTAAGACAGCTGTGTGGTGAACAAGTTCTAACAGCTGAGGAAATACAGTGCTATATAGAAACATGCTCTCTATGTGACGAATGAGAGCAAAGTTCTAACAGCCGAGGTAACTCAGTGCTATATAGGACCATGCTCACTATGTCACAAATGAGATGAAAGTTTTCACAGCCAAGGTAAGTCACTGCTATATACACAACCACACCCACTTTGTGTCCTATATACACAACCACACCCACTTTGTGTCCTATATACACAACCACACATACTTTGTGTCCTATATACACAACCACACACACTTTGTGTCCTATATAAACGACCACACACACTTTGTGTCCTATATAGACGACCACACACACTTCGTGTCTTATATACACGACCACACCCACTTTGTGTCCTATATACACGATCACACCCACTATGTGTCCTATATAGATGACCACACCCACTTTGTGTCCTATATACATGACCACACACACTTTGTGTCCTATATAGACGACCACACCCACTTTGTGTCCTATATACACGACCACACACACTTTGTGTCCTATATACACGACCACATCCACTTTGTGTCCTATATACACGACCACACCCACTTTGTGTCCTATATAGACGACCACACCCACTTTGTGTCCTCTATACATGACCACACACACTTTGTGTCCTAATAAGTTGCTGCTGCTGGCTAAGGCATTTATTGGAAGTCTCTGCAATACAAAGGTAACTTACTGCCAGTAACTGTTTTGTAATTTTAAAAAACATGTTAGGGGTTAGGAATTTGAAGGAAATTAAAGGTACAGTTATTAGATATCACAGCTAAGATGCTCGACTGAAGTTAGCAAGAATTTTGACAACTTCTGTAGCTTTTTATGTCAGAAAAAAGAAATCCACTTTTTCATAATATTTTTTTTATTAATGTCTGATGTGGACAGGGTATGTAACCAAGAATTTACATAAAACTTTACACTCTGAGATGAGTAAAGGTATCCTTGGTATAGATATCAACTTGATTAAGACATGACCAGATACTTACTCCATTAAATACTTTTTATCTATAACAATGAAACATACTCTGTTATTTGTGTTTTTTAGGTTGTATCCAAGCAACATGCAACATATTCTGGTATCCACAAGTACTCTGTGGAGTTATATGATACGTCTACCTACTTTGATGTGAACCTGGCCTTGGAGCTAGTCTGGTCTGGATATGCTACTCCTACAGAGGATTCCACCTATCATGTAAAATTTACATATTTGTTATAGTATCTGACAACATATCAATCACATGTTTTTAAAATCTTTAAGAAATTAAGGAGGTATTGTTTTCAGTTTATTGTTATGCTTCTTGGTGCTTTATATAATTATTACTTACATCTATTATCTGGGGTTTGCCGAAGCATGTTGCCACCTTCATTGTTAACGAGGCAAGTGATAATGGTTGTTTGATATACTCCATTAGACTTATCAATGATTTTTGACAATGACAAAATAACTTCTATGGCTGCTTTGCCCACTTATATATTCCCACTTAAACAAAATATTTGACTGGATGGACTGACTAAGCACAGTTTTAAATTCATTTCCATATATTCTGATCTCTCTTATAGAAAGCAAAGGAAATGTTTGTGTCCATTGACCTTGTACTAGACAGATATCCTGGAAGCTAGACTAAATCAATCATCTCTTACTACCTATATCAACTGATCCATAGAAGGAATTTTCTAGTCAGATCTTTTTAACATGTCTAAGTAGTTAACACAGATGATTATAAGTCATTATTTATAAAGATGCAGATTCCTATTAGCTTTTTATAACAATTTAACTATGTGTAATTTATACTGTCATCAGAATAGGTAGGTCATTGCAAAGTCAAAGTAAGCGGTCATAATAGGTAGATCAAAGTCATAACAGGTTGTCTTAGTAAGTAGGTCAAGGTCATAGTAGATAAGTAATGCCAAGGTCATAGTAGGGAGGTCATAGCAAGACCATAGTAGGTGATTAGTAGTACATATTGACCTTGCTATGACCTACTTTGACCTTGAACTCATACTTTGACATTGACCAACCTAATAAAACTCTCTTTGGCTTTCATACTAATAATTGAACTATTTCATTAATACAGCGGTTAATGAACACTTTTGTTGTCTATTTACAGGAATTGTTTTCACCACCTCAAGACAAAACCTTCTTCACTGTTCCAATCCTGAAGCTGCTAGACCTGTGTAGCCAGATCTACTGGGGCAAGGTAATATTGTACAGGGAACAGGTGATAAGTCATTGTCTACTGGGGCAAAGTAACATTGTATGGGGAACAGGTGATCAGGCATTATCTACCATTGTATAGGTAACAGGTGATCAGGCAACTGGGGCAAGGTAACATTGTATAGGTAACAGGTGATCAGGCATTGTCTACTGGGGCAAGGTAACATTGTATAGGTAACAGGTGATCAGGCATTGTCTACTGGGGCAAGGTAACATTGTATAGGTAACAGGTGATCAGGCATTGTCTACTGGGGCAAAGTAACATTGTATGGGGAACAGGTGATCAGGCATTATCTACTGGGGCAATGTAACATTGTATAGGGAACAGGTGATCAGGCATTGTCTACTGGGGCAAGGTAATATTGTATAGGGAACAGGTGATAAGGCATTGTCTACTGGGGCAAAGTAACATTGTATGGGGAACAGGTGATCAGGCATTATCTACTGGGGCAACGTAACATTGTATAGGTAACAGGTGATCAGGCATTGTCTACTGGGGCAAAGTAACATTGTATGGGGAACAGGTGATCAGGCATTGTCTACTGGGGCAAGGTAACATTGTATAGGGAACAGGTGATCAGGCATTGTCTACTGGGGCAAGGTAATATTGTATAGGGAACAGGTGATCAGGCATTGTCTACTGGGGCAAGGTTACATTGTATAGGGAACAGGTGATCAGGCATTGTTTACTGGCAAGGTACATTGTATAGGTAACAGGTGATCAGGCATTATCTACTGGGGCAAGGTAACATTGTATGGGGAACAGGTGATCAGGCGTTATCTACTGGGACAAGGTAACATTGTATAGGGAACAGGTGATCAGGCATTGCCTGTTAGGGGAAGATAATAATGGCTGACAATTAAAGTTTGTTATAGCTATTTCAGGTAAATAATGGATGGATCTGTCTCAACATGCATGTTCCCCTTTGTCCATAGTTAATTCTTTTGAATTTAGGACTGATTAGAGAAATAAAATTACCAACAGTGGACATCATGGATTTTAACATTAAAAATTTATCACTATTTTTTGAGAAGTACCGGATGGATCTTTTCTCAAATTATATAAAAAATATAGGTTTCCCTTGGTTCATTTTTTGTGCCATTTTGATGTTGGGATTGTTGGAAAAATAAAATACTGACGGGTGATGATCTTTTATTTGACAGTTGAAAAGTATTATTGCTATTTCTTGAGAGGAATTCTCAAATTTCATATAAATTTGTCAAGTCTGAGGAGAGAAGAGAAAAGAATGGACAAGATCCAACTTTTAAAGCACAAATGAACATAAAACAATGGTGGCTGCCAAGATTTATCTGGGATCTCTTGTTAATATTTATCGCTGAAAACAAATGGCTGACAGGCAGCAATCTTGGATTTTCACAATAAAAATTGGTATTGCTATTAGTTGAGATGGATGGATCATTTCTCAAATTTCTTATGTAGGGTCCTCTTGGCCCCTTGTTGTCTCTTGAGAGCGTAGACGACATCCATGGCTGTGACAGTCTTCCTCGCCCTGTAGAAATTCTAGATGGATCTCTTTGGTCCCTGATTTCAGGACCGATAGGCTGGCAAGGAAGTCATCTTAGATTTTGAAAATGAAAGATTGTTATTACACTTTCTTCAGAAGTACTAAATGGAATTTTTAGATTGATATGAAGGCTTCCCTTGGTCCTGAGTGATGTCATTTTGATTTTAGGGCTGCACAAATAAACAAAATGGCTAACTGGTAACCATCTTTGATTTGATAGTTAAAGATAATTGTTGCTAGGAATATTTATATTTCACATCAGGAAAGGATTTAGCTTTTAATCAAACAATGATGGGTATCAAGATCACTCTAATTAAAGACTTGGTACAGACTACTGAGTACTCTTCCTACAATATTACTCCTACAATACTCTTTCTACAGTACTGCTCCGCCTACAGTTCTCCTCCTCATACAGTACTTCTCTCACAGTATTACTCCTACAGTGCTCCGCCTACAGTACACCTCCTATAGTACTCCTCCTCCTACAGTGCTCTGCTTACACTCCTCCTCCTACACTCCTCCTACAGTACTCTTCCTATAGTACACCTCCTATAGTACTCCTCCTCCTACAGTATTCCTCCTCCTACAGTACTCTTCCTATAGTACTCCTCCTCCTACAGTGTTCTGCCTACACTCCTCCTCCTACATTCCTCCTCCTACACTACTCTTCCTACAGTACTCCTCCTTTATGTTTTGTTGTAATTTGTTTGTTAGACATCACTGATGCAGTCATTACACACAGATGTTGTGCACCTTATTTTATATTTAGTTTATGAGTCTATCTATTTTTGTTACTGTTATGCCCCTCTTACTGTGTAAAACAAAATCTTGTCTGGATAACTCTCCCCATATTTTGGTACATCAAAGATGATGCAGTCATCACATTTCCATTCTCTGCTAAAGTTATAGCGCATGGATCCATCTAAGAAAACTCATTATCTACGCTTATTTTTTGGATTCAGTTTCTTGATAATGAAATCCACAACATTTTTGATGGTGTCTTGGGGTGTATTAGTCCATCACCCTGGCCACAGGTATAGTTTCTGCTGGCTTACAGTGTATCTATGAATAACTTGTATGTACTATGGTATTTTTGTGTCGCCTGCAGAGCTGGCAGACACTTAGGGATCACTTTGTCCGTCATCACGTGTCATCGTCGTCGTCATCCGTACAAAAGCTTTCCGGACTTTTTTTGGTAATGCTTTGAGTTATCGAAATGAAATTTGGTATATGGCTTTTTGTTGCAAGGGTACAGATTAAGTTCGATTCCCAGCTGTCTGTGACCCTTTTTGGCAGAGTTATGCCCCTTTCAACTTAGAAAATTCTCTGGGAATATTGTTTTCTTGACTATCTTTGGTTATGCTTCACATTCAAGAAATGAAATTTGGTATTACAACTTTATGGTTGATTGTTGCACATCCAGTTCAATTTCTGGGTGACCGTGATACTTTATGCAGGCAACACATACAGTTCCAAGGAACTCTTGTATTTCTGTTGTCTCAATATATCGTAATCTAATATGACAAAACAAAACCATATTTATGATTAAAATTTATTTCTGATTTTTACCTTCTATTATGACAGGGAAGTTGTAAAGCTGTAGATGCAGGAAAGGAAATCCTCAAAATGGTGACATCATGTACTAAAAGGTAGGTAGGGGTACTGTAGATAGATCCTCAAAATGGTGGCATCATGTATTAAAAGGTAGGTAAGGGTACAGTAGATAGATCCTCAAAATGGTGACATCATGTACTAAAAGGTAGGGGTACTGTAGATAGATCCTGAAAATGGTGACATCATGTATTAAAAGGTAGGGGTACTGTGTAGATAGATCCTCAAAATGGTGACATCATGTACTAAAAGGTAGGTAGGGGTACAGTAGATAGATCCTCAAAATGGTGACATCATGTGTTAAAAGGTAGGGGTACTGTAGATAGATCCTGAAAATGGTGACATCATGTATTAAAAGGTAGGTAGGGGTACAGTAGATAGATCCTCAAAATGGTGACATCATGTATTAAAAGGTAGGGGTACTGTAGATAGATCCTCAAAATGGTGACATCATGTATTAAAAGGTAGGTAGGGGTACTGTAGATAGATCCTGAAAATGGTGACATCATGTACTAAAAGGTAGGTAGGGTTACTGTAGATAGATCCTCAAAATGGTGACATCATGTACTAAAAGGTAGGTAGGGGTACAGTAGATAGATCCTGAAAATGGTGACATCATGTACTAAAAGGTAGGTAGGGGTACAGTAGATAGATCCTGAAAATGGTGACATCATGTATTAAAAGGTAGGTAGGGGTACAGTAGATAGATCCTGAAAATGGTGACATCATGTACTAAAAGGTAGGGGTACTGTAGATAAAAAATTCCTCACAATGGTGACATCATGTACTAAAAGGTAGGTAGGGGTACTGTAGATAGATCCTGAAAATGGTGACATCATGTACTAAAAGGTAGGGGTACTGTAGATAAAAAATTCCTCACAATGGTGACATCATTTTCTATCATGGATTTAGTATGAAGTAGGTGTGACAAGGTTACCTTTAGAGATTTTAGTCTACAATATACACTGGCATTGAAAAGTGATAGAAATTGGAAATCATTGTTAAAGAAATCTGGAAACCTGTGGCTTTCATGCTTCCACTGAAATAGAACTGTCAAGATTTTAACATCTAGTAAACTGGCTCACTTAAACATAGGGTCTGATTAGAATTATGTTTGTCCAGCAAAGCTCTGCCATTTTCATTGGCTGTAAATGCCACACCACAAAAGTCTGCAGCCCATTTTTGTGTCCCATTGGAGTTATGTTTCTATCTAATGCAGGATTCTTGTTGTTTTATCTTCAGTAAACCGCTCAACCTTGTGAACTACGGAGGGCTGAAGGCTATCATTAAGCTGATTGGCCGAGTGGGGTTTGAGGACATCCACCAATGTCTATTGGACAGTCTCATTACTGCAGCTTGGAAACATGACAGGCAAGTTCTCAACCTTAAATCAGTTCTATGTAGACACCAGTAAACACAGAATTCTTGATAGGAGTACGTTGTGATAGTTTTTGTAAAGACATCTTGAAGTTACTTTCGATGGTGATTATTGAATTAATTAGCAAAAGCAATGTTTATGATAAAAGATTTGAAGTGATGCTGAAAGATTTCGTTGATACTCTGAAGACATGAATTCATATGTCCATGAATTGTCATAATTAATTCTAAGTAGATTTGAGCTAGGTTTATCCATGAAATCAAATGTCCAGAATAAAGTTTTTGAGAAACCATGAAAACGGAGCACCACATATTAGGATTTTACAATATGTGTAATGAATATTTCTTTTCAGAATATGTGAAGAAATAGTAGAACAAGATGGATGTGTTGGCCTTGTGAACAGCCTAGAACAGGTTTTTAGTCATTTTCTAATTCTATGAAAAATTTTTGTGATATCGACTCATAAATACTTCTATTGCAAATATCTTCAGTAAGTTGTCATTTAAACATGAAATGTCCAACAATACAAACATAAATTGATAGACTTTAGCTCTATTCTGATTAGGGTTAAATATAAAGGTTAACTTGATTATTTTACAACAATTGAGAAACAAGCTATCAGCTCTTGTTGGCCCAGGTTGAAGTGCACTATGGGTGAACTTATTGTACCCAGGATAAGGACACTATATAGTTAAGCATTAAAGTTATGGTTAAAACAATAAAAGTTACGATTATAATGTCCTGTATTGATAATTACATGTAGACCTAGTCAAAATATACTGATATTTCCTACACAAGTGAGCGCCGGTACTTAAGCATTAAAAAGACGGTTTTGGCTAATAAAAACTAAATATCCGGCATCTCCATTAACCTTACAAATTTTTCACACAGAAAGTGGACCATTAAAAAGATCACTTCTAATTTCATTAAAAACTGGACAGTCACATACCTTGTCTCGTCCATACCAGGAATCGAACCCAGTTACCTGTGTGCTACCCAACCACCATCTGATAAATGTTGAGTTATAGGGTTATAGATATTGATTTGGTTTGTGGAAACATCTTGTCCTAGTTAACAGTGTATGGTAGTCTCTGATCCTTGATACCAAGTTGAGTTCTTTTCTTTCATGGAAAAAATCTATTGACTTTAAGCCTAAAACACATTCTTTAGTTAAAATTATATTATATATTATACAGTGTATGTTGCAGACGAACAGGCCATGGTTACAAGAACAGGTTTTGACTGCTATGGGGAAGTTCCTAGATATTAGCATCAGGTAAAATCTATTCCTTTTTGAACTGTGTATGACTTCCTAGGTGAACTATGTTACTTTGTAGATTAATGTATTAAAAGTGTTATTGTTTTGATTACTGTATGTGTAATGCATTACTTTGTAGATAAATTAGGAACTTTGTATGATTTTGTTGGTTAATCTGAGTACTTTGTTTTAGTTTGTCATTACATTTATTTACCTGTGTATAACTTGAATCATAAATTTTTGTGTTACGTTATATGTGAATATAAACTGAGGTTTATTGAATAAGCAAGTGGATAAATCAGTACCATGTTTGTAAGTGCTTATGTTGTCGACAATTAACATATTTATCCTCAAATAAGCCCCCACCCCTAATGTAAAAGTAAATGTAAAGCTAGGGGAGGGCTTATTGTTGAACTGCTTTTAGCTTACTGTTTAAATTTTCTGTAAAAATGAAGAAGGGTGCTTATCTGATCAGAAAAAACAAAATGGCCAACAGACAGCCATCTTTGATTTTGCCTAGTAAAGTTTGTTATCACTATTTCTTGAGAAGTACTCAAATGATTTCTCTCAAATTTCCTGTTTTGGTTTCCCATTGTTTTTTGTTATGCCTGCTTTGGGACTGATCAGTAAAACAAAAAGATTGACAGGTGGCCATCTTGTATTTTCACTTTGAAAGATTATCATCCCTATTTCTTGAGAATGGCTGCATAGATCTTTTTATACCCCCGCCATTTATGGCCGGGGGCATATAGCGTTGCCCATGTCCGTCCGTCCCATCCCGTTGCGTCCCGTACCTAACAACTTCATTCGGACCTTTCACTATTATTTCACATGGGGGGGCAGGGGCATTCATGTCTTACAGACATTTTCTAGTTTTATATTTCATGTGTAGGCTTTTTTTGAGAAGTATTAGATAGATCTTGAGCAGTACAGGGTGGATCTTTCTCAAATTTCATAAGCAGGTTCTCTTCATCCCTTGTTGTGCCCGTTTGATTTTGTGATTGATCCAAAAAACAAAATGGCCGAGGGGCAGCCATCTTAGAATTTGACAAAAAAGTTTTTATAACGATTTCTTGAGAAGTACTGAAAGGATCTCTATCAAGTTTTGTATATAGGTTCCTCTTAGGACCTTCTTTTGCCTGCTGTTTTGGGACTGGTCAGAAAATTGAAATAGCCAACCGGCTGAAGTTTGTTATTACTATTTTGTGAAATGTACTGGATGGATCTTTTCTAGATTTTATTTGTAGCTTACCCTTGGTCTCTAATTGTGCCTGTTTTTAGGGCTGATCATAAAAACAAAATGGCTTACATTTTGTTAAAGCTATTTCTTCAGGGGAATGTTCTATTTTTGTATAATTAAGAGGGCAAGCAGAGGAGAAAAGAGAAAAGAAAGGAAAAGATTCAACTTTTAAATATCAATTGGAAATCAAACAGTGGTGGATGTTAAGATTCCTCTTGGATCTCTTGTTTGAGTAACCAGTTAATAAAATTGAACCAGTTGACAACCCTTGTTTACAATTGTGCCATCCACTTTGTAGGTTTATGCCTTGTTTTGAGGAAGAGAGTGTGGTTAGGACTATGTGTGAAATGTTGGATTCCACAGATGAATCTAAGGTTTGTATTAAGTAAAACAAAATAAAAAAAATACTGGTCATGTAGTATTTTGCACCTGTGTGACCAGGTACATTTGACCAGGTGAATTAGCTCTCCATTTAGAGATTGGAAAGAGAAATTGTAATCACTCTTGTCCGTCTACCTGTCTGTCTGTCACACGTTTGTTTCTGTACAATAAAATTATTTTGCCAGTCTCTCCCATACTTCATCCTTTGCTTCCTCATTGATAATTCTTTATATTCTTTTTGAGACACTTTTTATGATCCAGTGATCAAAAGTCATTCTTTCTATAAACTGAAATTTAATTTCTATACAACATGTTAAGTTTTGTTTGACAGATTTGTCTCTGCCTTCTTCCACTTCTTCCTCAAAGAGAGTTCTTTATTGGGAATGCTCAAGAGTCAAGTCATTTTTCTGTAGATAGGGAATAGGTTTTTGTACAATATCTCATGTTTTGTTGTACCAGTTTCTTTCAAGACTTCATTGATTTCTTGAAGAAAGTTCTGTTTATCAGGTGATTTATTTGATTTCAGCACACTGTTAATAGTGTATTGGCATAGTGAAAAGAAATAATAGAAAAAATAGGGAAAGTGAAAAAAAAAATCACATTATGAACGGTATGATGAAAGTTGATAAGTAAAGATTTACTTTAAAATTTATCATCCAACTGTCATTGTGAGATATTACTACACATTAAACATACCTGGATATAAGATGATAAATCATTCTCCAATTTAGATAAACATTTTTACTTGTCACAATTTAATGCTGGAATTGATAATGAGTTTATATCCCTATTACTAGGTACAAGCAGCTACATGTCGTACCCTGAGAAAGATGTGTCGACTATCTGAGGCGTAAGTATATCCATAACGTCCTTAGAATTTTTCTAGAATATCCTTGTTGCCATTGAATTGTTACAGATCGTTATGGTTACCTGTAAAGTGTTTTAGAATATTTCAGTGGGTAGGGACCATTGCATCATAGAATGGATTATTATGAACTGGGATCGGTGATAGAGTGACCATAATGGCCTTGTGTCTTTTCACAGTGTCCCTGATAACTTTTGTACTGTTGTTGAGCATTTATGTTGACCATTCAACTGTTAAAATTTGTCTGTGATGACCTTAGGGCTTTCATAAATGTCATAGAATTATTTCATGACCTTAGAGTGAGCAGGTCCAGGATGACCTTTGAACTGTCAGATATAATGAATAATGAGCTTTAATTAAACTGTTGTAGAATGTCCAGGATGATCGTGGAGTAACGTAGAATGTCAACTTTTTTTTTACTTTCTAGGGTGTTAATGATGACCTTTGACCACAAAATTTGCTCTAGACTGATTAGCTGTCTTGGAGATGAAGACAGAACAGTTGACCCAGATGTTACTATGGCAGCCATGGAACTCCTGGATACACTCCTGGAAAAGAAGGAGTAAGTGCAATGAAACAATGTTATAATGTTAAACAGAATGTTTTTTCATCAGATAACTTTAATACCTTTGTTGATTGAACTTCTTGTGTTGTCCTGACCATATATGGGTATACATCAGAAAAACGATAGATTAAAAAATATTAGAAAATGCATTAGTAAACAGTTGTAAATTTTGTCTATACTTTCCTAGTTGTGCCCATCTAATTTTGGGACTGATCAGATAAAAAGATCGCCAAAAGACAGCCATCTTGGATTTTGACTTTGAAAGTTTGTTATTGCTATTTCTCGAGAAGTACTCTATAGATCTGTAGCACAGTTTGAATTTAGGTGTTTCTTTCTTCAACAACCAACTGAACCAGACGATGTCATTCCATATTTATTCACCATACACTCATAGCTTTCGAAATCCCCTGTGTATATATTGCACGACGGATGTCAAAGTAATGTAAGTGAGAAAAAAACATGTCTTTCCAGTTCGAGCCCAAAATCAGAAGTAATAAAGGAAAGAAAGGTTAGGCGGGAAAAGGAAGGTAGAATTGAACAGCGCATGTCATGGGTCAAGTGGTCAGTTATTGTCCAGAACATGTACAATATGTAACCAACAACAATAATATGCCTATTCCAGGCCTACTATATATATACATTTGACCAAACGAAAGTAGCCGATGTATATGCGAATGGACACGAATAAAAGACAACTATAATAACTAAAACAATCACCTGTATTACAGGGTGCCACAAATCTTTCTCAGATTTCATGTATAGGGTCCTTTAGGTCCTTAGTTGTGCCTATGTGAGTTTGGGACTGATCAGAAAAAAATGTCCGACTGGCAGCCATCTTGGATTTTGCCTAGTAAAGATTGTTATTGCTATTTCTGAAAAAGAACTGAATGGATATCTGTCAAATTTCATATATGTGTTCTCTCCTTGTGCTTGTTTGCTTTTTGGACTGATCAGAAGAAACAAAATGGCTTCCAGATGGACAGTTTGGATTTGGTAGATAAAGATTATCAATTGTTTTTATTTATAATAGGACCATCTCTTGCTTCCTGACACAAACCTTAACTAAACTAAACATTATAATTAGTCTTTTGATAGTACTGTCATTCCCCTCATGTTAACAATTAAATTAAAATGTGTCACGTATTACAGTGCCGTTCAAAAATTACAAGGATGAATTAATACCTGGTACATGGATATGTTATTTCTAGTGACAAAAGCAAAGTTCATTTCCTGGGATAAGAGAAATCTCTGTGTCACTTTTCTGTTTTTCTATAGGAAGAATGAAGATTCTCTGACAAAGCCCAAGCTGGTGAAGTGTGTGGTTGGCGTCCTAAAGCACACGGAGGAGGAGAAAGTATGTACTCTGATGATAGTGAGACTTACATCATTTGTTTATCATTTGGATAATGTTTTTATAACTTTATGTAATGAATCTAGTGACTTAGTGACACACATCTCAATTCTTCATGGTGTTTAGATGCTTGTTTAGGATAGGTTTTAATGCTAACAGGATATGTTGCTGAATGCTGTACTGGATAAAATTATATCAAACATGTTATAATTAAATTATGTTATTGAAGGTCAATGGTCAAGGTTGTTGATGGTTGTTGGTCAACATTATTTGTCAAGGTTATTGGTTAAGATTATGGTTGACGTTTTATTGGTCAAGGCTGTTGATATTTTTAGTCAATGTTGGTGATCACGAGTCAAGGTTCAAAGGTCACGCATGGGATTGATATGTCTTATTTTTGTGAATCCACCTTGTTTAGTCGACAACTTTTGATAACTTTTGATTAGCTTTCAATGCATCATTTATTAAATTTTATAGTGTATCCAGTGTGGACTAAGATATTGTAACTTTTACGGGAAACTGAATCGGAGAAACAAGGCTACACTTCTGCAACTAGAGCTTGTCCCGGTCTTAGACAGGTAAGTACAGAAGGGGTCAGATGTCAAGGACTTCAGTTAGTATAAATCTATCACCAGCTTGTGAACAGTATGAGGTCAGAGGTCATAGTTAAGTCCTAAATAGTACTGCCTTCAGTAAATAGGTATTGTGAAGTATTCAGTAAAATAATGGCATTAATGTTGTACTCTACAACGTGATAAGATTTTTAGGAGACCTGATTGGTAGACTTGTTACCTTAAACCCTTGTTCAAGTTTAATTATCAGCAAATTCTGCACATATTTAATGAGGCTGCTGTGACCTGATTGGCTGATATCTTTTCCAGTTTTTCTTGTTGCTCAATTTAAATGTATATATTTTACAAATGAACATGGGCGGGGGATCTTGATGACTATGTCCTTGTTTCTTTCTGCAACAATTGCTATATCTAGTATATGTCTTTGTCTATAACAAAGCTACCAAAACTTACCAACATTGTTCACAGTGTTTCAATGTGTAATAAATCAGAAGTGTAATTTTTCTTAATTTTTAACTCTCCTTCAACAGATGGAGGGCTCTTCAAATTGTATTATGACCAATGTGTTATTCATGTATATGGTACAGATTTCTGAGCCTGCCTCACCTGCCCTCAGTCATTCATGATTTGTGTTTGGACCAGAAGTCAAGCCTTGTCGTCAACGTCCAGTCCTCTCAGACCATAAAGAACACACCTATTCGAAAATCCAAACTAGCTAGTGACAGTAACGGGTAATTAGTTGTGACAAATTATAGTGAGGGCCCTGCTTCGAGACAAAGTGCCCTTTTGTAATAAGCTTTTTCAACACTTGTCCAACCAACTGTCTGTTTTTGCTGTCAGCACATTAACTTTAGTACTTGTTGTTGGACTTCACCAGAAAAGGTATGTGGCTTTATATTTATGAGACCTTGAAGGGGTTCATGGACTTCACCAAATTAGGTATGTGGCTTTATATTTATGAGACCTTGAAGGGGTTTCATGGACTTCACCAAATTAGGTATGTGGCTTTATATTTATGAGACATTGAAGGGGTTCCATGGACTTCAGCAGGAAAGGTATGTGGCTTTATATTTATGAGACCTTGAAGGGGTTTCATGGACTTCACCAAATTAGGTATGTGGCTTTATATTTATGAGACATTGAAGGGGTTCCATGGACTTCAGCAGGAAAGGTATGTGGCTTTATATTTATGAGACCTTGAAGGGGTTCATGGACTTCACCAAATTAGGTATGTGGCTTTATATTTATGAGACATTGAAGGGGTTCCATGGACTTCAGCAGGAAAGGTATGTGGCTTTATATTTATGAGACCTTGAAGGGGTTCCATGGACTTCACCAAATTAGGTATGTGGCTTTATATTTGTAAGACCACAAAGGGGTTTAATAACCATTTAAATCCAACAATATTTGTAAAAGGTTTAAGACTTTGAATGTTTTGAATAACTATTTTTGTATTACTCTCCATATAATAACTTGGATATTTATAGCAATGTTTTCCATATTTGGTAAATCAGTGAAATATGTGAAAATTTGGGACTTTGAATTCCAAAAATTGACCATTTTCATACTTTCTGTACAATAACTTTCTCCAAACTTCTGATGTGGATTCATATCAATTAGACGTCACATTAGTTTGATAAATGGTGTCATCCATCAATATTTGCAAGAATTATGTGACTCTGAACATAGAAAATATACTCTTTTATTACTTTCTGCACATTGCTGATTTGCAGTCGGATCTTCACCAAATTTGGTATGTGGGTTTATGTATATGAGATATGCTTGGAATCTCTTCATATTAACAAGTGTTATGGGACTTTGAATGCCAAACAATTGACATTTTTATGCCATTTTGAACAATAACTTGATTTTCATCGAATTTATGTGATATCTTTTATACAGGAAACCTTGTGTGGGTTCAATAACTAATAAAATCTTTCAGTATTTGCAAGACTTAGCAGACTTTGAATGATGAAAATCTGCAATCTCATGTCATACCAAACAATAATATCTGGGCAAGGCACTCTCTTGTTGGACTTTGAACATCACATGAAAAATTGGTGTATTGAAAAATTCCATGCATATTTCAACAGGCTGTTGCTTACTGATTTTTCATAATTATTTCAGAAACAATGTTCAAGCATAGGTGAAACCTTTCGTATCATAGCTTATAGGCAGGGTCCTTCCTAGACATTGGTCTTAGATTTCACGAATACTTAATTTCGCAAACTAACTTCTTCAGACATGTTCACGAATACATGATTACATGGAAGGTGATCTAGAAATAACTTAGAATTCGCAAATTATGGGGCTTTAGATGTATATTGGTAAGGAATCAACATGGATGTAATTTTCCTTCAAATAATCGTGAGGGATTTGAATTTGCGATTGACTCTCCTTGCATATTAATGTGAAAATAAATTTACTCACTTTACAGTAGTTATTGCTGATGTTTGTAAGTACTATTGTGACATAGTAATTATATTTTAAGTTTATATATTTATGTATAATGTTTGTTAATTCAGTATTAATTTGCTACTTTGGGATCCTATCGCTTTGAGAGATTGAATGCTTTGCTTCAGAACTTAATGAGAAAAGATGAAGATTCACTTTTGTTTGTGTTTATTTTGTAGCATCCTACCTCAAGTGTTGTGGTCTGAGAACATTTTTACTGTAAGACTTACTGTGAAGGTGGTGGGTGTGAACCCAAAGTCTGATCCGGTACAAATCACTGAGAACTCGGTCTCCTTCAGGTAATACAGTCACAAACATCCTCAATACTACAGACCTTACAATCACTTTCACTCTCTGCACCCCTGGAACATGTCATGTTAAAATTGAAGGCACAAGCAAAGTAGTTTGATTAGTTCTAGGAGAAAAAAACAGGCGTATCACAGGCTGATACACTTCATCAGAAGATTACAAAAAAGAGACACCCAACATCAAAGCTATTACAATATACCGATATGAAACCTCGAGATTCGTTTGTCTTACATCAAAGGACCAAACTAGTCTTTTGCTTTTGTCCACAAGGTGTGGCACCTGGAACCTCCAATTTTGCCATGACTTGTTGCAAGGGTGCAGAGAGTTAAAATGATTGTAACTCCTGGGGTATCGAGGATGGAGTAAAAAGAGAGTCCAGAACAGGATCATCAGATGATGACAAAAGTGAAAATAGAAAAATTGATAAAACAATGTTAAAGAATATACATATCAAATTTTTTAGAAATGTGAATTAGAAGGACTTTGATAGGTTAATGTGCTAAAGAAGTTTATAAATGATTTCTAGGATAATGTTTTCTGATGTGTAGAATTCAGTAACCAGAGTCATAAAGTGCTTTTCGTTTGATTAAAAGTAAATATGTATCAAGTTGAAGAATTTTCACCTGCATCCGTTACTTTTTATATGTGTTGGATTGATTGTGTTTACTGAGAAATTAAGACAGATTGTATGTTTTACAGGGCTTCAGTTGAAGGTCAGGTGTATGAAGTGGAGTATATCCTGTTTGATTCTATCTTACCCGTCCGTAGTCAGGTGAAAGTCGGCTCCGGTGAAGTTACCATCATCTTACGCAAGAATCAGAAGGGACGCTGGCCACGACTCAGCAAACTTAAAGCCAAGGTAACTAACTCAGTCAAGGTCAGTTTTGAAGGTGAAGATAATAAACATAGTCAAGGTCAATATTATAAGCTCAAGGTCAAGGTAAGAAAGGTAGTTTAGGTCTATATTGTAAACTTGAGGTAAACCATTTATTTTTATACTGATTGACAATTAACAAATCCACCAATGTGAAATATTTTATCAATGTATTTTCGTAAGTTTGTAATTGAATGTACAGTACAGATTTAACCCAATAATGTAGATGATGCTACTTTTGACATGGGCAAATATATGGTCATCAACAATAAAACTGAAATTTGCAATCTGCAAAATCGTTGCAAAATATTTTACTCCTTGGAACTGAGAGTTCTTTATAAAAGAGGAGATGATAAAGATAACATTTTCTGCATTCACAGCCTGCCAATCTGATGTATGATTTTGACCGATATGAAGACAGCTCATCTGCTGAGGACGAGGACTGTGATGAAAGTTTAGCAGGTCCCACGAGGAAAAGTAAGTTATTGATCAACCAGGAATGAACAATTTCAAACAGACACTTCAAGAAATGTTATGACTCTTTATTCAAAAATGAAGGTTGAATAAGAAAATATCTCAACAGTTGTCTCCCTTGGATTGCATTGCAGGTTTGTCAGGAAAGGAAGGCAGTTGAATTTTAAATGCAGAATGAAAAAGTGGTTAAGTTTCAGGGTGAAAAGTTGGAGTAGATGCCTGTAACAAAGCTCTGGAGCTTACGGTTTAACATCCTCTGTTAAGTTTTAAACGATTTATGCATCATTGGTGTTATAAGGAGTTTCTGACCTTAAGATGAAATCATATCAACAAGTTAAAAAAATTCTTAGGTTTTACATTATCAAGTGGGTTTTTTCCTGTTTAGAAAAACAGTGCATCTGCTATTTTTTTTTTTCCCTGATATATAGTTAAAATTCCTGGATATTAAAAATTTCAATTACAGAAATCTCCCAGAGATACAGCTGAAGCTTCAATTAGAAAGGTTTTACTTTTTGCATTTTGACAGGTAAGAAACTACCAACAGGAATCTCAGCAGGAAAGAAACAAGAGATTATGGAACGTCATCTCCTAGAACACCAAGGCTCTACGCCATCAAGTGATGAAGATTTAGGCACTCTTAGGATCACTGAACCTGACCCTTATGATATCTTTGATGTTGGACAATAGAGATGTATGACGGCCAGTGATGGAGAAGAATATTTGTCATGTATTCATATAACAGACACAATATTTATCGGGATAGTCAGCCAGAAATACAAAATGTTTTGTGCCTTGTGTTTGAAGTTGAAGGACAAGTGATAAACTCTTCAACTTCAATAATGTTGACTTCAGTGAAATTTAGTAAATATATTCTGAGCAGCATAGTATCATGATGAGATGTGAAAATGGTAATTTTGGAGATATCGGACAGTATTGGAGTCCCTTTAGGGGACCAGAGTGAAATACGTTCGCGCATTGCATCTTCATTGTAAAAACTTGCATCAGAGGGATTGCCTGCATCTTTTCTTGAATATCATGATCAAGTGTGCTGGTCATCCAGTCACATTTTCTGTATTGTTTTTGTTGTGATCTCCCTAATTTAGAGTAATTAGGAGGAATTTGATTTTCAAGACAGATACAGTCTTGACAGAAGTCACTGTAACAATGTTTTTGACACAGTTGTGACTTAAAAAGATTTTAAAAGTTATTTTTATGTTCTTTGACATGTTTGATAACAAGGCAGCTTTTTTGTATCATTTTGTTTGGTTTTTCATTGAAGAGTTGTTAACTCAAACTTTTAGATAGAGATAAAAGGTTGTTAAATCTCTTGACAGTAATATCTGGATAAAAAGAGAACCTTGTCATTTCAAATATATTTCACTTAATAAAATTGCAACAAAATTCTCCTTGAAGAACTATTGGATCTTCTCCATTGATAACAAATCTTTCTTTTGAAGTAGCACTGGATCCTCCATCAAAGAACATGTCCATTAATACTGGAGGATAAACAGGAACCAGAGGAAATATAATGACCCAGAATTCTTATTGATCAACTCACATTTCATTGTGGTTCACACACAAAAACGTATTGATGGGAATTTATTTAATCAATTTGAAAGAATTGGCTTTGAATGATCTTGATTTATGTAAGAATGACCTCCCCCCGCCCACTCCCAGAAAAAGAAAATGGTCTTTGAGGGATCACAAGAACAAGTTGGTTGGTTGATTGGTTTTGTCCTTTTATAGAGTTTCTTCAGGATATGACAGTTCTACTAGATGATGGAACTAGTGGACTCACTTATAGGAACCCAGTTCCATTGTCTTTTTATATTGATTTTCACAGTGAACTTGCGTTCCTCATGCATTCTGTCAGTTACTCTGCATACCTTCCGATATCCAGACAAGAGTTCTAGCAACTATGTCTCCATCAATGCAGACATCATGACTTTCACTCTATACCTTCTTACCTGGTAAATTGATTTAAGATTTATAACGGCAAATTTGTTGATATTTGCAGGAGAAATGAAGCAGAACCAATAGCTAGTCAGCCTAGAGTAATCTGGCTTTCATGACCTTGACCTATTTTCAAATGGGTCATGACTTGAAAAATAATAGAGACCTATATGTTGTTATTTATTGCTAAAATTCATGAAGACAAGATGAGATAGGTTTCCTGTACTGTTATATACAAGCATAAAGGATTCAAAGGTTAGACTCTATTCTAAGATTTTCTTTTTAAAATTCCTCCATGAGTTTCTAGCTCCTGTTTATGATCTCCTGAACTTTAAGAGAGATTTACTGAAGAGGTCAGAAGTCTTGGTTTTAATTCTCTAGGATTTAGATCCTGTGGAGGTTTGTGTTTTGTTGAATGTGTTGTGATGTGTTCACTTTTTGATGTACATTATGTAAGTTATGGCAGCCCAAATGTCCTAGCAGTACAATATATATACAACTTTCCAACTCGCGGCATTCATAGCTCATGGCTGACACTGCAGAGCTATAACAGGGCAAAACTATTTAAAGGTTGTAGGATTACAATATTGCAATACCTCTGTGGTGGATGCATTCTTCACTCATGTTTTCTTTGACCCCTTAAAAATACAATATACTTTTAGCGCAATTTATTTGGATGCCAAATATAGCAAAACTATGGAAAATTAACGCATAAGTTTGGATTCCAACACACGGTTGCTGTGACTGACTGCCAGGTCACTTGTGATGAACCTTGTCCATTTTTGTCATAATCAGGTGTCCACAGTAGATAAATAAATCATATTGTGATGTACAACTGAAAGGATCTCCAACAAACAAATTGTGTACTATTCAACCATGTTTTTATCTGTGGTCTGTGATTTGACATTCCTTTGTTATCTTTATTTCTGCAGAAATACAATCAAAAAAGAAACTTGAGAGAAAAGAACAAAAAAGATGAAACATATACAGATGTAATCAAAGTCATATTGTTTTTCAATGTCTTCATGACAAGTTACTTTACTATTGTGAAACAAGTACTATCAGCATATACTAATTACTTATTCTTATTGTCCTGGATGGAAGGTCACTTGGGGTCTTATTGTGGGAAAAAACACATGTATGTTGACAAAAAAATGTATGTTGTTTAGCAAGAGATTCCAAACCTTATCACATCTGATTTCAGGGAATTGAATCATATTTGTCTTGGTGATTGGCAGGTGTGTAACTTCCACATCACCTGACCACTACCCTTGTAGATGAAGGGAAGCATTCCTTTATCATGTTCATAAGAAGGGCAAGCATAATACCAGGATGACATACTCATAAAAAAAAACAATATATTCCTTTTCAGAGCTAACAAACAATTATCTGGTTTCTGTGTGTGACTTTCAATATAGTGGAGACCATTATCATTGGTACTTTTTCAATACCTCCACTCGGACCTCTTGTTACAAAAATCTGACACTACACTAAAAGAGCTAAAAAATTCAAACTGATTTGGTTCAAAGTGATTCTCAATGGTCCAGATGGAAATTAGTATCACAATGTGGGAGTAAGTCAGAGCAGCTGGAGGAGTCCTTTTCGATGTGGTGAATGACCTAAAACTTTTGATGTCTGATGAATCGCCTGTTACCACTAAGCTCCCTGACAACCCATCTAGGATATCTTGTTGAGGTGGGGGCCATCAAATGTCATCCAAGGCAATTTGGGTATAGTGCCTCAAAGTCACTACCTTTTCAGCACAAACAGGTCCATGTCTCAGCTCCTTGGGAGACACAGACTGCCACAGACAGAAAACATTTAACCATGCACCTTGGATCTTCTATTGAGGTTACATAGTTCAATGCTCTAACTGACTGAGATGTAGCAGCCCCCTTCTTTACTGAATGTCTAGATCTCTCACTTACAATGGCAGGTGTGTTAATTAGGTGAAGGAATTCATTACCTGAAAATTAAGGTTATAAGGTTAACAACAAGACAAAACTGTCAGGATCATTTCCCTTCATTACTGTTCTTTATAGTTTGATATTTTTGTAAGAAATCTGAGGACTTTGTTTCTCTATTGAACCAAATGATCAAAACAAGTAGATTGTTTTATTTCAATTGAATATGAAATACAGGATGCAGAAAAATAATGATTTCAACCATAGTGCCTGTAGACGATGATGTAAGTGTGTTCAGTTAAGTAAGCAATATAAATACATGCAGTTGGTACTTCAGCTGATATTATCTTTCCATGTTTATTTTTATTTTAAAGATGGGCTACAGTTCAAAAAATAATAAGGGCTTTTCAATAAGATCAAATTCAAATGTGTTAACATATTAGTGTTATCAGGCTGAGAATGCATTAAATCTTTAGTCAGATCACACAAAATAGTGTCGTTCATAACATAATGATGACATATGAAGCTTAAGACAGGTTTGTTGTTTGAAGAAAGTTACATATACTTTTTCTGTGTTTATTGCCTTATGAACAGCCAAGATCATTTTGAGATATTATGTGAAACTGCTAACTTGAATTTCTAGGGACTACAACGATGGTTTAAGGGAAAGCAAGTTGTTAAAATGAATGATCTTGACCCACTTTCTATGTCACATGGGTCAAATATGTTGATATCTTTAAACGAATTCTTCTCAATAATCAAAAGGCCAAGATTGCTGATATTGGGTTTGTAGTATGCTGGGATGAAAGGCTACCAAGTTTATTAAACTGAATGACCTTGATCCACTTTCAAGGTCACATGACTTTTCTAAATAATCAAAAAGGCACAGGATGCTGATATTGAGCCAGTAGCGTGATGAGAGGAAGTGCTACCAAGTTTGTTCATACCATTGCCTTTACCTACTTTGAAAGTCATAGATGTTAAATATGTCATGGCCTTTGATTGACTTCTCAATAACCAAAAGACTAAATGTGGTGATATTTGACCTGTAACATGTTGGCATGAAGGGCTACCAATTTTTTTTTCATATTATTGATCTTGACCATCTTCAAAGGTCACAGGTATCAAAAACATGTATGTCAAAATATTTAAACAGCTTCTTCTCAATAACCAAAAGACCCAGAGTGCTGATATTGGGCCTGTAGCATGATCTGATGAAGGGCAACTAAGTTGTTTTATAAATAGTGACCTTGACCCACTTTCAAAGTCCAAGGGGCAAAGATCATTTAACAACTTCTTCTCAATGATCTAAGGGTTCAGAGTGCTGATATTGGGTCTGTTGTATGCTGGCTTAAAATGATACCAAGTTTGTTCATATTGTTCATATTCAAGTGGGTCAAGGTCAAATAAATGTAAACCTTTTTCTAAGTAACCACATGCCCAGTGTCATGATATTGGGCTAGTAGGATGCTGGGATGAAGGGCAATCATGTTCAAATTAAGGACTGTAACCTTGGCCTTTATTCAAGTTTACAGAGGTCAAACATGCTAAACCATGACAGCAAAGAGTGCTATCAATTCTGTTAAATTGAAAATTAAGCCTTCAAACTTAGAAACAAGGAAAACTTTGTAAGTATGCAAATATCAGTTCTGCACTGTCTGCCCCAATGCTGGGACTGATGGACAGGTTTTATAACTGTCCAAAGACCTGAAGACCTCAGGTGACCGTTAAGGCCCATTGGCCTCTTGTCTAACAAGTCAGAGTTAATGTGAACTGGTCATCAACCAAGTGACGGCTACAGGGTTAATGTGACAATTTTCAAATACCTTTTGTATACGTACATGAGAGAGTATGGGATATACTGGTTTTTACTATCCGTCAGTCTTTATTTAGCTGTTGCATTTTCAATAAACTTTATTTTTAAATTTAAATAACATGCCTTTTTCTTTGTTTATCTTTTATTTGGAACTGGAGTGAAATACACTTACCATAAAATCTGGGTAATTTGCACATCTACATGATTTGTGAAGGTGTTTGCTGAGTAGAAAATACTTCTGCTTTAATAATTAGCACATCATTTTAGTGTTGTCCAGTACTGGTCAAGATACATGTGTACAATACAATGGGTCCCTTATTGTGCCCGAATGATTTTGGACTGATCAGAAAAATAAAATGGCCAACCAATAGCCATCATGGATTTTGCCTAGTAAAGTTTGTTATCGTTATTTCTTAAGAAGCAGAGTTTAGTTTTGTTATTTCTTAAGAAGCAAAGTTTAGTTTTGTTATTTCTTAAGAAGCAAAGTTTAGTTTTGTTATTTCTTAAGAAGCAAAGTTTAGTTTTGTTATTTCTTAAGAAGCAAAGTTTAGTTTTGTTATTTCTTGAGAAGCAAAGTTTAGTTTTGTTATTTCTAAAGAAGCAAAGTTTAGTTTTGTTATTTCTTAAGAAGCAAAGTTTAGTTTTGTTATTTCTTAAGAAGCAAAGTTTAGTTTTGTTATTTCTTAAGAAGCAAAGTTTAGTTTTGTTATTTCTTAAGAAGCAAAGTTTAGTTTTGTTATTTCTTGAGAAGCAAAGTTTAGTTTTGTTATTTCTTAAGAAGCAAAGTTTAGTTTTGTTATTTCTTAAGAAGCAAAGTTTAGTTTTGTTATTTCTTGAGAAGCAAAGTTTAGTTTTGTTATTTCTTAAGAAGCAAAGTTTAGTTTTGTTATTTCTTAAGAAGCAAAGTTTAGTTTTGTTATTTCTTAAGAAGCAAAGTTTAGTTTTGTTATTTCTTAAGAAGCAAAGTTTAGTTTTGTTATTTCTTGAGAAGCAAAGTTTAGTTTTGTTATTTCTTGAGAAGCAAAGTTTAGTTTTGTTATTTCTTGAGAAGCACTGGATGGATTTTTATATGTTGCTTCTCCATGATCCCTCATTGTGCTCATTTGTTTTTATGAGGAATTAGAAAAGCAGACCGGTGGCCATCTTGGATTTTGACTTTGAAAGTTTGCAATGGCTATTTCTTGAGAAGAAGTGGATGGATCTCTCTTGGATTTTTCTGCAAGGGAATGTTCAAATTTATCATTAAGAGCAAAATCTGAGAAGAAAAGAAGGGAAAAGATCCAACTTTTAAAGAACAGATCTTTAAAGATCCTCTTGGATCTCATGTTGCAATTTAAGCATAATAATTCCGGTTGTACCAGTTTCAAAATTTGGGTTTGATGATTGATTGATAAACGCATTGAATGAGAAGTTTGTTTTTCATTAATATTTTCTCCTGTTGGATCTTGCTATAGATATAACTACCACATCTTTCCTTGTCAATTGATTTCCATTTTCTAGATGAATGAAAAATTTGAATCGAGAAGAACAGGTCCCTTTAAAAGAACATGAAGTTGGTGACTTGTTCGCATGCTCCTTTATGAAGAGAACAAAGAATTGAAAATTCATTATCTAACTACTTAACTGATGTCATCAGAAAAGTCTTACACTACAACATCTGTAAAAAGTTGTGTCCAGTGACTGATTATCTGATGTGTTGGAATGATCATTTTCGCATGCCTGGTTATAATTAAAGTTTATATCAAGAATATCAAAATTTGATGAAATTCTCAGTTTCTGATATTAATTGGAATGTTTACATACCATTGGATCATTACTAGTAAAAGAAAACTCAAAATGAACAAAGGAGCATACGATTATATCTAAATCAGACATGTAATATAACACTTGAAAACATATATAAATTATTTTATTTTATTAAAGTGAAAATCTACATTCAAACCAAACTGCAGTTTGCAGTTATCAATGCCAAAAAAGATGAAATAAATAAAAGCTGTCAAGAAGAATGAACTAAGCCATATGCTTGTCGAATATCTGTTTATAGTCAATCCATTGTCTTGTGAAACTGAGGGTGAGCTCCATATTTAGATATATCTGTGACAGGCCAAAAAGACTTTTGCTGTCATATTGACCAAAATAAAAACTAGATGTCAAGAGGGTAAGAATTAGTACTATTAGTGAAAACCAGCCATCTCATGAAATATTCCAGAATTTTTTAATATGCCATCCATGACTGAGAATAAGAACAACACAAATTTGTTTTGGTGTATCTGTCTGCATGTCCAATTAAACACTTTCCTTTCTGAATCTGAAACATTGCAGAGTCTTGGTAAGAATGTAGTCAGTAACTTTCATCTTTACATCACATACATTCACTAGTAATTGTCTACAGGTAGAGGATTTCAATATCAGGCATTGTCTAATATTACAGACTATAGACATAAACTAGATTTTGACTCGGATTGATTATCTCCCTCCATATATCCCCATCTACATGCACCAGGTAATCAGATACATGATATATGGAGGCAAGTACCCTACTTCTATAGTAGTATTATAAATTTTATATCTAATGAAATTGAACATGTCATTTTAGGACAAGGTTTACATCAACAATGACCTAATCTATTCAAAGCACTTTTTCATATTTTCAGCAGCAACCATATATATTTGTGACAGGAGATGAACATTTTAATGTTTGTCATTTATATATGAGAAAAATTATCTGAGGGTATAATATGTAGAAAGATTAAGTATAATTAGTGTATAATAATATGGTCTGATAGCTATTAACAAGGAACTGTTATACAAACTAGTTATAGAAACATGGATATTGAATGAGAAACAAATGAAAAACAAAGCAAACAGACAACAAAGCATTTGTCGTGACTTGTACGTAATCACGTTTGTACACCTTTTTTCAGAAAATCTAACTTAATAGCTCCTATATCTATTATTGTATGATATGGACATCTCGTCCTACCTCTCTAAAATTCCCGGGAGTATTTGAAAACATTCTGAGCTCAGATAAAACAAAACCAAGAATGCCTTTATTATGATCATGTCTGCATTGTACACTTCTCGTTAAAATGTGTGTACATGTAAGTATCAATGTCAACATAGTATATACATTGTACACTTCTTCAACAATACTCACATGATTTGTTAGTATTGTTTTGTTTACTGTAAGTGAATCGGTCCGTATATATATTCGCACCAATGGTTATAAATGTCAGTCGTAAATTGTATGCCTTTGAGATTGCATTATATATATATAAATATATGAACGGAATGTATAAATTGATAAACTTATAAATGGAGCCCACCCATCCCCCCCCCCAAAAAAAAAAACAACATTCATTTCCTTAATTACATATAAAATCCTTTATTTTTAAGATATCAAATGTACTTTGATAAGAAAAATATGATTATTTACTATATATAAACAGCAGTCTGTCTGAATGACTCACCGATACAAGAACATTGATGCGGTGTTGACTGTACAGTAAACTGAAATAATGTGCCATTTTCTTATAAAAATTGACAACTTATTTTTAACAGTTATATCCATTCGTTGGAAAGTTACTATACTTGATAGCCTGAGGCAAACATTTGGGGATTTTTTTTCATAATACTGCTTTTAATTCACACTGAAGTTGTCAAAATAATACTTTTGTTAAAAATTTGTTAAGACTATGAAGATTTATGTGTAATTTTCAACTAAGAAAAGACACAACTAATTTCCATCTAAATAATAATTTGTAACGAAGAAATGTTACGTTTACTGATCAGAGACATGCACTTCGGAATTTTTATCTACAAAACGATATATTAATATTTTTCTGAAATGCCGCTGTGTAATCTATAGCACGTGTCTATAGCATGCGTGTCATGGTATGACCTCAATAGCTGCACATGCAATTGATTCCTTCACAAAGTTGGTGAAGACTTCCTGTGAAAGTCCTGGAAATTTTCTTGTCTTTGAAATATCCATTGTTATTAACTTATCTGTTATTGCACACTGAAATGTTGGCTTCAAAAGAGGACGGTGATCGGGAGTATGGCCTGTGTTGAGTCTGTTGTCAAAACTTATCTATAAAAAAGAAAAAAAGGTTAAAAAATGCTGCTGTAAGTAAACCGACCTCATCTTCACAGTCAGACGGTATTGACGCACTGACAATGCTATCAGTTTCCGAGTGGACGCTTGTGGGGGTGAACAAAGAAAAAAAAAGGTTAAAAAATGCTGCTGTAAGTAAACCGACCTCATCTTCACAGTCAGACGGTATTGACGCACTGACAATGCTATCAGTTTCCGAGTGGCACTTGTGGGGGTGAACAATTCCATCTCGAAGTTTCAAGCCATATTTAACACCAGATCAACAAATATAATGAAAATCAACGGACACAGGCAGTGGAATATCAACACAAACTGTCTCTCGGATAATAAATGTGAATTGAAATGGTGAATGAGAAACGTATTTGGCGAAGGAAGATAACCATGACACAAAAGTGTGTTGATCTTCAAGTGACGCTCTCCTCGTAAGGCTATCTGTCAGTTCAGAAGAGTTACGAAAAAGGATTCTCCATCATGTACTGGGTTACAGTTAGCGTCATGGGCTTCGTGGATGTTGTTTCATCAATAAAATGTGCCGTTCATTTTTATTTCTCACCGAAAAAGCTCCCTCCAAGAGCAAACAAAAATAATTGTAATTACCAAGTTATCTCCCTTGACCCAGTATATCTCCACACACCCATTACTTAAATAATATACATAACACACACTTTATGGCAGTGCCTATCCTCATTTCCATTTCAACAGTATAACTATTCGGAAGTCAGTATGAAATTGTTCAATAAATACACTATCTGTTCAGTTGTTTTTAGAACTAGTACTAAAGTCCGTTTATGAATAATGCGGTCGTTACTTGCTGAGAAAATGCACCTAAAACGCATTATTCTTCAGCTTAGCATATCCGAACCAGCGAGTAGAGAGGAGCTGGGAGCAAACACACGCACACTGGAATCGTCCTAAAATGTGTCTGTATCATTTATAGTTAGGAGCTGGGAGCTAACACACAGAGAAATTCTCTCTACATTTGGTGTCAGAAACGGAGATGG